TACTGACTCTCATTGACGGACCATCATATAACTAATTATAATTTTCTATTTTTAAAAAAAAATGGGAATTTGATTTCAAATTTGCTTTATTTTTTAAAGATGCAAACTTTTTAATGAAATAATGCAGGCGCATTATTTGTGTTTAGTGCTGAATCCGAACAATGCAAAACAAACGGTAAAACGCGAATGTTTGTGTAAATAAAGTATGTTTTTCTATATAAGCTACTAGCTGCATAACCGTGCTCCGCCAGGGATAATCTTTTTTTAAAATGTACCATCCTGCGAACAGAAAAAACCAAACGCAAACACAAAAGAACCCAATAACACAACCAAAAGAAAAAAAAAAACGCTAAAGCAAACGTAACACGCAAGCACAAACACAAAAGAAAAAAAAACTAAAAAAAAACACAAACACAACGCAAACGCTAGCACAAACACAATGCAAACACAAATGCAAAAAAAACAGCAAAAAAGCACAAACACAAACAAAAAATCAAAAACAAACGCAAACGCAATGCGTAAAACAAATACAAACATAAAAAAACACAAACGCAAACAAAAACACAAACGCAAACACAAACACAATGCAAACACAAAAGCAAACACAAACGAAAATGAAAACGCAAATACAAACACAAACGCTAACGCAAACGCAACTCACAAACACAAACAGAAACAAAAACATTTCTTTTCTAGAAATATAAGCGAAAATATTTGACATTGATCTGTTTAAGATGTTTTAGCAAAGTGCGTGTATTTTATTTTTTCTTCCTGTTGTTTATTTAAGTCGTTACATAAATAGACCCTACTCCACTCCTTATAATAAGACGCTGCGATGCAAGTAAAATGCACGGCTTGCGTTGTTTACTTTTATAGTTCTAGAATCTCTAGCGATGACGGAATGACTGACAGACACACTACCAGCAGCCTTTTATTATAGATGCTAGTTTTTAACTAAGTCGCAAGACAGGCGCAAAACAACTTGTTTTGTTAGGTTGTCAGCTTTTTCTAGGTCAGCTAATAAGGAAATTATTCGATTTAAAAAAAAAAATTTAAAATTTAACGATTTTTGTGTCAATTTTTTACTACAAAATAAAACATGCACATTCTTGTTTAGAGGAAGTATTGTAATCGCGCACAATAATCATATGAAATTGTTACAGTTTTAAGCGTTTTACACCCAGTACTCCACATATATGGATTATAGGGGACTTATTTTAATCGGGCAAAAATTATAAATCCAGATTAATCAAAATCTCGGCATTTTACGCGCAGAGGCGTAGCGATGGTGGGGGGGGGGGGGGGGGGCAGGGGGTACATATGTCCCCGGGCGCCAACCTTAGGGGGTGCCAAAATGGGTTGTAAAAACAAATTAAAATGTCATTTTAGCTGCATTTTTGCAATTTAAGGGGGGGGGGGGGGGTGAAAATCGAAAGTATGAGGGGAGAGGGTGCAAATCGAAAATTTGCTCCCGAGGGGGGCGCCAAATTGAAAGTTTGTACCCGGGCGCCGGGAAGGGTCGCTACGCCTCTATTTACGCGTCATCAATTCGGAAAAACTGGGCCTTGTGTGTGTCTGTGAACACGATACATTTAGTTTGACGAAATTTTATATATAAGTGTTACATAAAATACGTAACTTTGTATCAACTTTTCATATATTTCAAGTAACCTTCAATTTTTTTGCGTATATTGCAAAGCTCATTTCTCTGTGAAAAAAAGTTGACCGGGTCTTCCCGATATCCGCACCAAACTAGATCGTTTTTGACCTTTGTATTTTGGTATGCAATCCCGCTAATGTTTTCTAGATTTACTTTAAAAACGACAGAAAACTAGACTAGTTGTGTTCAAAGTAGGTGAATGTCGGTCTAGATTTTTCAGAACATGGGATTGTCGCAGCAGTTCTTCGCTTTGTTATGGAAAAATTGGAAAATAAAGTATCGCTCTTGGGGCAGTATTTTGGCTGAGCTTAGTAAGTGTTTATGTTGGCCCACACATAACAAAATGTGAATTATAATGATGGATGGCCAACGTTTCAAACAGTTGGCAATGTTGGCCCACACATAACAAAATGTGAATTATAATGATGGATGGCCATGTTTCAAACAGTTGATAATGTTGGCCCACACATCACGAAAATCGTATTATTTGTCGAAATTATTAACATGACATACTAAATGTTACTTAAAATATCGTGAACATCCTGAACTGAATGTTATTTATAATATCATGAACATCCTGAACTGAATGTTATTTATAATATAATGAACATCCTGAACTGAATGTTATTTATAATATCATGAACATCCTGAACTGAATGTTATTTATAATATCATGAACATCCTGAACTGAATGTTATTTATAATATCATGAACATCCTGAACTGAATTTTATTTATAATATCATGAACTTCCTGAACTGAATGTTATTTATAATATCATGAACATCCTTAACTGGATGTTATTTATAATATCATGAACATCCTGAACTGGATGTTATTTATAATATCATGAACATCCTGAACTGGATGTTATTTATAATATCATGAAAATGAATGTTATTTATAATATCATGAACATCCTGAACTGAATGTTATTTATAATATCATGAACATCCTGAACTCAATTTTATTTATATAATCATGAACATCCTGAACTGAATTTTATTTATAATATCATGAACATCCTGAACTGAATTTTATTTATAATATCATGAACTTCCTGAACTGAATGTTATTTATAATATCATGAACATCCTGAACTGAATGTTATTTATAATATTATGAACATCCTGAACTGGATGTTATTTATAATATCATGAACATCCTGAACTGGATGTTATTTATAATATCATGAACATCCTGAACTGGAAGTTATTTATAATATCATGAACATCCTGAACTGGATGTTATTTATAATATCATGAACATCCTGAACTGAATGTTATTTATAATATCATGAACATCCTGAACTGGATGTTATTTATAATATCATGAACATCCTGAACTGAAAGTTATTTATAATATCATGAACATCCTGAACTGGATGTTATATATAATATCATGAGCATCCTGAACTGGAAGTTATTTATAATATCATGAACGTCCTGAACTGGATGTTATTTATAATATCATGAACATCCTGAACTGAATGTTATTTTTAATATCATGAACATCCTGAACTGAATGTTATTTATAATATCATGAACGTCCTGAACTGAATGTTATTTATAATATCATGAACATCCCGAACTGAATGTTATTTATAATATCATGAACGTCCGGAACTGGATGTTATTTATAATATCATGATTATCCTGAACTGAAAAGTTATTTATAATATCATGAACGTCCTGAACTGGATGCTATTTATAATATCATGAACATCCTGAACTGAATGTTATTTATAATATCATGAACGTCCTGAACTGAATGTTATTTATAATATGAACATCCTGAACCGAATTTTATTTATAATATCATGATTATCCTGAACTGAAAAGTTATTTATAATATCATGAACGTCCTGAACTGGATGCTATTTATAATATCATGAACATCCTGAACTGAATGTTATTTATAATATCATGAACGTCCTGAACTGAATGTTATTTATAATATGAACATCCTGAACCGAATTTTATTTATAATATCATGAACATCCTGAACTGGATGTTATTTTTAATATCATGAACATCCTGAACTGGATGTTATTTATAATATCATGAACATCCTGAACTGGATGTTATTTATAATATCATGAACATCCTGAACTGGATGTTATTTATAATATCATGAACATCCTGAACTGGATGTTATTTATAATATCATGAACATCCTGAACTGGATGTTATTTATAATATCATGAACATCCTGAACTGGATGTTATTTATAATATCATGAACATCCTGAACTGGATGTTATTTATAATATCATGAACATCCTGAACTGGATGTTATTTATAATATCATGAACATCCTGAACTGGATGTTATTTATAATATCATGAACATCCTGAACTGGATGTTATTTATAATATCATGAACATCCTGAACTGGATGTTATTTATAATATCATGAACATCCTGAACTGGATGTTATTTATAATATCATGAACATCCTGAACTGGATGTTATTTATAATATCATGAAGATCCTGAACTGGATGTTATTTATAATATCATGAATATCCTGAACTTGATGTTATTTATAATACCATGAACATCCTGAACTGGATGTTATTTATAATATCATTAACATCCTGAACTGGATGTTATTTATAATATCATGAACATCCTGAACTGGATGTTATTTATAATATAATGAACATCCTGAACTGGATGTTATTTATAATATCATGAACATCCTGAACTGGATGTTATTTATAATATCATGAACATCCTGAACTGAATGTTATTTATAATATCATGAACATCCTGAACTGAATGTTATTTATAATATCATGAACATCCTGAACTGGATGTTATTTATAATATCATGAACATCCTGTACTGGATGTTATTTATAATATCATGAACATCCTGAACTGGATGTTATTTATAATATCATGAACATCCTGAACTGGATGTTATTTATAATATCATGAACATATTGAACTGGATGTTATTTATAATATCGTGAACATCCTGAACTGGATGTTATTTATAATATCATGAACATGCTGAACTGGATGTTATTTATAATATCATGAACATCCTGAACTGGATGTTATTTATAATATCATGAACATCCTGAACTGGATGTTATTTATCACTACATAGTTGACGCGTGCGTTCTTTACTTTTGCAAGAGTAGATAATTGATTAATTACCTAGTCAGATCTTATGACCCTCCGCGATTTCCCGACGGTGAGAACGTTGTTTTTTTTTTTTTGTTACCTTCTGGGGTCGGTGTACGACAAGGCGGCATAGGGTGTCGTCCGGTAAATGTTTATTCTGATACACAAGATGACTTTGGCTCGCGGTCACGTTTTTCCATCCGAGGGCCTAGAGTCTGACCAACAAGTGTTCCATACGACCTGTTTGTTGTTCTAGGTGCATGCGAACATAAGCCAGATTGACCAACAAGTGTTCCATACGACCTATCCATTGTTCTAGGTGCATGCGAACATAAGCCAGATTGACCAACAAGTGTTCCATACGACCTATCCGTTGTTCTAGGTGCATGCGAACATAAGCCAGATTGACCAACAAGTGTTCCATACGACCTATCCGTTGTTCTAGGTGCATGCGAACATAAGCCAGATTGACCAACAATTGTTCCATACGACCTATCCGTTGTTCTAGGTGCATGCGAACATAAGCCAGATTGACCAACAATTGTTCCATACGACCTATCCGTTGTTCTAGGTGCATGCGAACATAAGCCAGATTGACCAACAATTGTTCCATACGACCTATCCGTTGTTCTAGGTGCATGCGAACATAAGCCAGATTGACCAACAAGTGTTCCATACGACCTATCCGTTGTTCTAGGTGCATGCGAACATAAGCCAGATTGACCAACAATTGTTCCATACGACCTATCCGTTGTTCTAGGTGCATGCGAACATAAGCCAGATTGACCAACAATTGTTCCATACGACCTATCCGTTGTTCTAGGTGCATGCGAACATAAGCCAGATTGACCAACAATTGTTCCATACGACCTATCCGTTTTTCTAGGTGCATGCGAACATTAGCCAGATTGACCAACAATTGTTCCATACGACCTATCCGTTGTTCTAGGTGCATGCGAACATAAGCCAGATGCACATAGGGTTGGTACCCCGTTTTTCTAGGTGCATGCGAACATAAGCCAGATGCACATAGGGTTGGTACCCCGTTTTTCTAGGTGCATGCGAACATAAGCCAGATGCACATAGGGTTGGTACCCGGTTTTTCTAGGTGCTTGCGAACATAAGCCAGATGCACATAGGGTTGGTACCCCGTTTTTCTAGGTGCATGCGAACATAAGCCAGATGCACATAGGGTTGGTACCCCGTTTGTCGCAGAAATTAAAATCATTATATAGGACAATATGACTAGTCAGCTTTGGCCACTGTAACAATTTTTCCATATGGCCGATTCATTTACCCAGGTATATGGAACAATCAACCAGTCAGTCGAGGTCAGTTTTTTATCCCTTGTAGTTGGCTTGGTGGCCAATCGGCAGTTAAGTGCTCAAAATTTGAAACGCTAACCGGCACCCAATCATTTGTCCTTATGGATATATATATATATATATATATATATATATATATATATATATATATATATATATATATATATATATATATATATATATATATATATATATATATATATATACTAGCGTACCCGTCCCCGCTCGTTGCCGCGGGGATAGAAGAAGGCTTTCATCCATACTTTACCATTCCTATATTCTTAGATGCGTAACCTTTTTTTCTAAAAGGGAGTTATTTAAATGTAAACAATGCCTGCGCTTGGATCATAAATACCGGGACACGGGTTTACCTACACTACCGTATGAAAACCTTTAGTGTACATTAATCACTCACCGAAATAATCAGGTAGAACACACTTCGGTGACCACCCATGTGTCAGGGACGTAGAGGGGCGCTCTCAGGAGTACCCCCCCCCCTCGATTACACTACCGCATAGGCGCCACGTACGGCCCCTGGCTCCTTAAAACAAACTGGCGCCATTGTGCCAAATAGCATCCTGTTAATAATGATGCAGATTGCGTCATTCGCTAAAGTGACACAAACGAACAGGATTTTTTTCTTTAGCACGTAAAAAATTATTTGACGTGTTTTAAACATCAGTGTGACTGATGCAATATGTTAGCATTACTAATGGTCTATTATTACATGCTCGATCTCAATTTCTGATTGTATTGTCTAAAAATAGATGCTAATATATATATATATATATATATATATATATATATATATATATATATATATATATATATATATATATATATATACAGTGGCGTAGCGAGGTCGGGTGTCACCCGGTGCGGCACTTAATGGTGTCACCCCCCCCCAGAGGCGTTGCGACCCTTCCCGGGGACAAACTTTCATGTTTTCGATTTGCACCCCCCCCCCCCCTCAAACTTTCGATTTGCACTCCCCCCCCCCCGCAAACTTTCGATTTGCACCCCCTCCCCTTAAGTTTCTCTCTATATATTTTGCTATTTTTTGCCTTGGTGTCACCCCCCTAATTGGTGTCTCACCCGGTGCGGTCCGCACCCCCCGCCCCCCCCTTCGCTACGCCCTGTATATATATATATATATATATATATATATATATATGTATATATATATATATATATATATATATATATATATATATATCTATATATATATATATATATATATATATATATATATATATATATATATATATATATATATATATATATATATATATATATATATATATATATATATATATATATATATATATATATATATATATATATATATATATATATATATATATATATCTATATATATCTATATATATCTATCTATATATATCTATATATATCTATATATATATATATCTATCTATATATATCTATATATATCTATATATATATATATCTATATATATCTATATCTCTCTCTCTCTCTCTCTATATATATATATATATATATATATATATATACACTTCTTACTAACTCATAGACCCCCTTTTCTCAGTTTTCCCGTTGCTGCTGAGCATCCTTATCTTTTATACTCACTACGATCAAACTGTCGACCATACGGAGCGGACAGTAACATTCGACCCCTTGTGGTCAAACTACCGACAGGAACCAATATTTGTCGGCACGCCAAGTTCATCCGCCATTGAAACACTTGTTCGATCACAGATGACCGGAAAATGTAAGTCAAATTTGTTTGACTTCAGATGGTCGGCAAATGCAAGTCCAGTTGATCACAGATTATATATATATATATATATATATATATATATATATATATATATATAAATATATATATATATATATATATTTATATATATACATGTATAAGAAAAAGTATTGAACTGCCCCATGGGTCTGTCATTGTGACCAATGCACTAAACCTAAACCACACATAACACATTTCACAATGTACACACGTGCCCTCAGTTTATACCTAATTAGCTCTAACTTTCACTTCAAACACGTGAGCAGTAAGATGTTTGCAACAGCTAGAATGGCCTTTATAAATTAACATGGTTTTTCTAAACATGGCTTTCAGATTCAGCTGTTCACATGTTCCCGACGGTGGAACAGGCTACGGAATTTTCCCGAACCTTACGTTGGCCAAACATCAGCACACCGGTCGTGAGCTTTGAGCTGGATGACGTCACCACGGTTCCACATCACCTCAAGTTTAAACTCAATGTGGCATTTAATTACTATCCCAACGAGATCTATGGAGAGGCATTGTGTGAGTTATAAAGCCGTGGCCGTCTGTATAGACCGGCATGACGTGAGTTATAAACCGGCTGTATAGACCGGCTGTATAAACCGGCATGACGTGAGTTATAAACCGCCAGTATAGACCGGCTGTATAGACCGGCATGACGTGAGTTATAGACCGGCTGTATAGACCGGCTGTATAGACCGGCATGACGTGAGTTATAGACAGTCTGTATAGACCGGCTGTATAGACCGGTTGTATAAACCGGCATGACGTGAGTTATAGACAGTCTGTATAGACCGGCTGTATAGACCGGCTGTATAGACCGGTTGTATAAACCGGCATGACGTGAGTTATAGACAGTCTGTATAGACCGGCTGTATAGACAGTCTGTATAGACAGTCTGTATAGACCGGCATGACGTGAGTTATAGACAGTCTGTATAGACCGGCTGTATAGACAGTCTGTATAGACCGGCATGACGTGAGTTATAGACCGGCTGTATAGACAGTCTGTATAGACCGGCTGTATAGACAGTCTGTATAGACCGGCATGACGTGAGTTATAGACAGTCTGTATAAACCGCCAGTATAGACCGGCTGTATAGACCGGCATGACGTGAGTTATAGACAGTCTGTATAGACCGGCTGTATAGACAGTCTGTATAGACCGGCATGACGTGAGTTATAGACCGGCTGTATAGACAGTCTGTATAGACCGGCTGTATAGACCGGCATGACGTGTGTTATAGACAGTCTTTATAGACCGGCATGACGTGAGTTATAGACCGTCTGTATAGACCGGCTGTATAGACCGGCATGACGTGTGTTATAGACAGTCTTTATAGACCGGCATGACGTGAGTTATAGACTGTCTGTATAGACCGGCATGACGTGAGTTATAGACCGGCTCTATAGACCGGCTGTATAGACCGGCTTGACGTGAGTTATAGACAGTCTGTATAGACCGGCATGACGTGAGTTATAGACCGGCTGTATAGACCGGCTGTATAGACCGGCTTGACGTGAGTTATAGACCGGCTGTATAGACCGGCTGTATAGACCGGCTTGACGTGAGTTATAGACTGTCTGTATAGACCGGCATGACGTGAGTTATAGACCGGCTGTATAGACCGGCTGTATAGACCGGCTTGACGTGAGTTATAGATCGGCTGTATAGACCGGCTGTATAGACCGGCATGACGTGAGTTATAGACCGTCTGTATAGACCGGCTGTATAGACCGGCATGACGTGAGTTATAAACCGCCTGTATAGACCGGCTTGACGTGAGTTATAGACCGTCTGTATAGACTTGCATGACGTGAGTTATAAACCGCCTGTATAGACCGGCTGTATAAACCGCCTGTATAGACTTGCATGACGTGAGTTATAAACCGCCTGTTTAGACCGGCTTGACGTGAGTTATAAAACCGCGACCTAAAGCCAAAATAATTTCTTCACAATGATAATGACGTCGATATCAAAAACTAAAAACCAACCCGGAAGAAAATGTGTAACATGTGTGCTTAGTTGATCACAGGGGCGTAGCAAGGGGGGGGGGGGAGCGGGGGTGCGGATCGCACCGGGTGACAGCATTTAGGAGGGTGGCAAAAATAGCAAAACATATAGAGAAAAATGACATGATTAATCCGAGTGTTAAATAGTCTTTTAAGAGGTGCAAATCGAATTTTTCTTTTGGGGGGGGGGGGGGGGTGGGGGGGGGTGGGGGGGGGGGGAAGGTGCAAATCGAAAGTTTGAGGGGGGATGCAAATCGAAAATTGAAAGTTTGTCCCCGGAAAGGATCTCTACGCCTCTGGGGGTGACACCATTAAGTGCCGCACCGGGTGACACCCGACCTCGCTACGCCACTGGTTGATCAGTGACGGAGGTTTCAATGTCGGGGATGTGTTAAATCTATAAAGACTAATTCTCGGGTTCTTCAATAATACAGGACGGATGTGTTCATACCCGTTAAATCTATAAAGACTAATTCTCGGGTTCTTCAATAATACAGGACGGATGTGTTCATACCCGTTAAATCTATAAAGACTAATTCTCGGGTTCTTCAATAATACAGGACGGATGTGTTCATACCCGTTAAATCTATAAAGACTAATTCTCGGGTTCTTCAATAATACAGGACGGATAATTTTAGATACCGATGTCCGATAGTAGACTATTACATAAAAAAGGGTTGTTGGGTTGTAGTATTGTAATCTCGTCTAATTTTATGGTTTTATTAGGGTTAGGCGTATGTTAGGACTAGGGTTGGGTTTAAGGTTAGGGACAGGGTAAGCATTGCCATGAGACAGGCATGCGTGTATTTAGTTAACTACCAGTTACCTAACACCCTTTTTTATAAGAAGATTTTATCATCGAACACTGGTATAAAAATTGGCCCAATACAAGCGATAGATAATACAAAAACAAAGGATCCAACAGTACTTACAGTAGTTACAGCACCCTCGTCCTCAACACGTCCTCTTGATGTCCACACACCCTAGCACACGTCATCCCGTCAACTGACACACCTCACGTGAACACACCCTAGCACACGTCATCCGTCAACTGACACACCTCACGTGAACACACCCTAGCACACGCCATCCCGTCAACTGACACACCTCACGTGAACACTTCTCGCTCCATGTAAACACACTCCACCAAGGGCTACAACTCCATACAAAAAGAAGGTACTTGTCGTCTTATCAAACAACACTAACACAATCAGGGGAAGCTAGATATACATATAGAAAGAGTTTCTTCCAGGCATATTTTCGGGGAGGGGGGGGGGGGCTAACAGTATGCTATATACTTTTAACATTTTTAGACCGCCCCCTAAACTCCCCCTCCCCGGAGAAAAGAGTCTGGAAGAAACACTGCATATAGATATAACACTTATTCAATTTGGGCAGTACAATCACTCTCCCCTCTCTTTCTCTTTATCAATATATATATATATATATATATATATATATATATATATATATATATATATATATATATATGTAAATATCATATAATTATAATTTTATAATATTATATATATATATATGTAAATATCATATAATTATAATTTTATAATATTATATAATATTAATATAATTATAATTTTAATTACACCGTGCGATATTTTAAAAATATTTCATGAGTCTCTCGAATAGTTTCGAGACTATTCTCGGGTCCATTAGCCGACGTGACCAGAATTTTTGGACTGCCTGTGTCATGTCTGGGTCATGTCTGGGTCAAGCCTGGGTCATGTCTGGGTCATGCCTGGGTCATGTCTGGGTCATGCCTGGGTCATGTCTGGGTCAAGCCTGGGTCATGGCTGGGTCATGCCTGGGTCATCTCTGGGTCAAGCCTGGGTCATGTCTGGGTTATGCCTGGGTCATGTCTGGGTCATGCCTGGGTCATGTCTGGGTCAAGCCTGGGTCATGTCTGGGTTATGCCTGGGTCAAGCCCACTATGCCGGAAACAGTTGTATGCATAGGTGAGGGTGTATGCTATAGAAGTATGAACAGTTGTATGTGTGTGTTACAGTTTTATGTACAGTTGTTAATGTATGTTATAGTTGTATGTACATTTGTATGTGTATGTTACAGACTTATGTACATTTGTATGTGTATGTTACATCCTTATGTACATGTGTATGTGTTACAGACGTATGTACAATGATATATTTATGTGCGGCAACCGTTGTTTGTTGCGAGCTCTGCAGCGCGCTGCCATTTTGTTGATCTTCCCGAGCAGGGCTGAACTTATACAGCGTGCCAGAGACCATGCACGGGGTCACCATGATGTTCATCAACCACTGGCAGACCCAGAAAGGCGGCCCACCCAGCCATCTGCGCCTGGAGCTCGTCGAGATGCCCAAGCTGGTCACTAAGCAAAGTAACTCGAGTTTGGTACACCTCTCGATGACCTACGGCCTGCTCTTCATGGCTTTGTTCTGTTTCACAACAATCACCATCGTGGACGAACGCGAATCTAAGATCAAGGTCAATTCAAAATTAAATTATTTAGTTAACGGTAAACTAAAAGTTTAAATCTTTTCTTTACCTAGTTTTATACAAAACAAATAAGCGAAACAAGTCTAATGCATTTTCTTCACGGATGTTTGAATATAACAGATTTCCGGCATGTTCAACTGTCCCCACCATCGCTTAACTCCCGTGGGTTAAAATATTAAACTCCACCTGCCCGTGGTTTAACTCCCCTGGTCTGTCATGTTAAACTCACCTGCCCGTGGTTTAACTCCCCTAGTCTGTCATGTTAAACTCACCTGCCCGTGGTTTAACTCCCCTGGTCTATTATATTAAACTCACCTGCCCGTGGTTTAACTCACCTGGTCTATCATGTTAAACTCACCTGCCCGTGGTTTAACTCCCCTAGTCTGTCATGTTAAACTCACCTGCCCGTGGTTTAACTCCCCTAGTCTGTCATGTTAAACTCACCTGCCCGTGGTTTAACTCCCCTAGTCTGTCAACTTCCCCCTGCCCGTGGTTTAACTCCCCTGGTCTGTCATGTTAAACTCACCTGCCCGTGGTTTAACTCACCTGGTCTATCATGTTAAACTCACCTGCCCGTGGTTTAACTTCCCTGGTCTGTCATGTTAAACACACCTGCCCGTGGTTTAACTCTCCTGGTCTGATATGTTCAACTTCCCCCTGCCCGTGGGTTAACTCTCCTGGTCTGATATGTTCAACTTCCCCCTGCCCGTGGGTTAACTCTCCTAGTCCGATATGTTCAACTTCCCCCTGCCCGTGGGTTAACTCTCCTGGTCTGATATGTTCAACTTCCCCTCCCCAGGAGTCCATGAAGCTGATGGGACTGGGCGAGTTGATCTACTGGATGTCCTGGTTTGTCATGAACTTCATCTACGGCCTGTACATCTGCATCCTGGGTTGGGTGGTCATGTGTGTCGACTACTCGCCGGTCGGTCGGCTCTTGAAGTCATCCAGTCTGCTGTTCGCCATCTTTGAACTGGTGTTTACGGTCAACACAATCAGCGCGGCCTTTCTGCTCGGCACATTTTTTAAGAGAGGTAATGTAGCATTACATACAAGGGTAGCACGCTTAATGTAGCATTACAGACAAGGGTAGCACGCTTAATGTAGTGTAGCCTTACAGACAAATATGTTTTTCCTGTAGAAAACTTTAGGGATTTTAAGGATTAAAGATATAATTTTGCTGCACGTGTTTGAAAATAAGTTGTGTGCAGCGAACAAATGTTGCAGGGATTTTAATGATACGTTGAGTGTAGGCCAAGCCATGATCTGCTGTGTAGACCATGACATGTTCGACTACCTAAATCATGACATGTTAGAGTACCTAAATCATGACATGAGCTCATGTATTGAATGTCTTGTGTACACCATGATATGTTCGAGTACCTAAATCATGACATGTTCGAGTACCTAAATCAGGACATGTTCGAGTACCTAAATCAGGACATGTTCGAGTACCTAAATCAGGACATGAGCTCATGTATTGAATGTCTTGTGTAGACCATGACATGTTCGAGTACCTAAATCAGGACATGTTCGAGTACCTAAATCAGGACATGAGCTCATGTATTGAATGTCTTGTGTAGACCATGACATGTTCGAGTACCTAAATCATGACATGTTCGAGTACCTAAATCATGACATGTTCGAGTACCTAAATCATGACATGTTCGAGTACCTAAATCAGGACATGTTCGAGTACCTAAATCAGGACATGAGCTCATGTATTGAATGTCTTGTGTAGACCATGACATGTTCGAGTACCTAAATCATGACATGTTCGAGTACCTAAATCAGGACATGTTCGAGTACCTAAATCAGGACACGAGCTCATGTATTGAATGTCTTGTGTAGACCATGACATGTTCGAGTACCTAAATCATGACATGTTCGAGTACCTAAATCATGACATGTTCGAGTACCTAAATCAGGACATGTTCGAGTACCTAAATCAGGACATGTTCGAGTACCTAAATCAGGACATGTTCGAGTACCTAAATCAGGACATGAGCTCATGTATTGAATGTCTTGTGTAGACCATGACATGTTCGAGTACCTAAATCATGACATGTTCGAGTACCTAAATCAGGACATGTTCGAGTACCTAAATCAGGACATGTTCGAGTACCTAAATCAGGACATGTTCGAGTACCTAAATCAGGACATGAGCTCATGTATTGAATGTCTTGTGTAGACCATGACATGTTCGAGTACCTAAATCATGACATGTTCGAGTACCTAAATCATGACATGTTCGAGTACCTAAATCAGGACATGTTCGAGTACCTAAATCAGGACATGTTCGAGTACCTAAATCAGGACATGAGCTCATGTATTGAATGTCTTGTGTAGACCATGACATGTTCGAGTACCTAAATCATGACATGTTCGAGTACCTAAATCAGGACATGTTCGAGTGCCTAAATCAGGACATGAGCTCATGTATTGAATGTCTTGTGTAGACCATGACATGTTCGAGTACCTAAATCAGGACATGAGCTCATGTATTGAATGTCTTTCAGGCCGACTTGCTGGAATCATATCTATAATCGTGTATTTCGCCATCCCCATGGCTACCTCCAGTCTCATCGAACAGAAAACTGCTCGCATTTTGCTGTACGGGGTTGGTGTTTTCTTGTACAGGTTTGGCTTTGAAGTAGCCAGGCAAGTTCTATATGACAACGAAAACGCTGGTAAATATGTGTAAATATGTGTAAATATGTGTAAATATGTGTAAATATGTGTAAATATTGCTGTCTTTCAAGGGAGGTGGTGCTAGCATTGCTGTCTGTGATGGGGGTGGTGCTAGCATTGCTGTCTGTGATGGGGGTGGTGCTAGCATTGCTGTCTGTGATGGGGGTGGTGCTAGCATTGCTGTCTGTGATGGGGGTGGTGCTAGCATTGCTGTCTATCAAGGGAGGCAGTGCTAGCATTGCTGTCTGTGATGGGGGGTGGTGCTAGCATTGCTGTCTTTTAAGGGAGGCGGTGCTAGCATTGCTGTCTTTTAAGGGAGGCGGTGCTAGCATTGCTGTCTGTGATGGGGGTGGTGCTAGCATTGCTGTCTGTGATGGGGGGTGGTGCTAGCATTGCTGTCTATCAAGGGAGGCGGTGCTAGCATTGCTGTCTGTGATAGGGGGTGGTGCTAGCATTGCTGTCTTTTAAGGGAGGCGGTGCTAGCATTGCTGTCTTTTAAGGGAGGCGGTGCTAGCATTGCTGTCTGTGATGGGGGGGTGGTGCTAGCATTGCTGTCTTTTAAGGGAGGCGGTGCTAGCATTGCTGTCTATCAAGGGAGGCTGTGCTAGCATTGCTGTCTTTTAAGGGAGGCGGTGCTAGCATTGCTGTCTTTTAAGGGAGGCGGTGCTAGCATTGCTGTCTTTCAAGGGAGGCGGTGCTAGCATTGCTGTCTGTGATGGGGGGCGGTGCTAGCATTGCTGTCTGTGATGGGGGGTGGTGCTAGCATTGCTGTCTCTGATGGGGGGGGTGGTGCTAGCATTGCTGTCTATCATGGGAGGCGGTGCTAGCATTGCTGTCTATTATGGGGGGGGGGGGGGGTGGTGCTAGCATTGCTGTCTATCAAGGGAGGCGGTGCTAGCATTGCTGTCTGTGATGGGGGGCGGTGCTAGCATTGCTGTCTATCATGGGGGGATGGTGCTAGCATTGCTGTCTATCAAGGGAGGCGGTGCTAGCATTTCTGTCTATCATGAAGTGCGGTGCTAGCATTGCTGTCTATCATGAAGTGCGGTGCTAGCATTGCTGTCTATCATGGGGGGGGGGGGGGGGGGGGGCTAGCATTGCTTTTTTATCGTGAGAGGCGGTGCTGACATATAAGTGTATCACAAGGAGGTTGTGTAAGAGTTGATTTAGTTGTATTTTTAGAATAGTAATCTCTAAAAAGCTACCCACATCAACATACATAATAAGATGTGTTCATATAAATGTCCTAGAGAGACCGATTTACCTATCAACCCTAGCAGTCAACGAATTAGATCCGAATAAAAATGTCTTGGATGGTCTAACCATTATGATACTGAATACTGCTTTCAATGTTTTCTTCGTCTGGTACATAAGCAACATTTTCCCAGGGGACTTTGGCATTCCAAAACCATTCAATTTTCTGTTTACTGTAAGTTATGTCAGCGTAGAAGAAAGTATGTATGTATATATATATATATATATATATATATATATATATATATATATATATATATATATATATATATATATATATATATATATATATATATATATATATATATATATACACATGTATGTATGTACGTATGTATGTATGTATGTATGTATGTATGTATGTATGTATGTATGTATGTATGTATGTATGTATGTATGTATGTATGTATGTATGTATGTATGTATGTATGTATGTATGTATGTATGTATGTATGTATGTATGTATGTATGTATGTATGTATGTATGTATGTATGTATGTATGTATGTATGTATGTATGTATGTATGTATGTATGTATGTATGTATGTATGTATGTATGTATGTATGTATGTATGTATGTATGTATGTATGTATGTATGTATGTATGTATGTATGTATGTATGTATGTATGTATGTATGTATGTATGTATGTATGTATGTATGTATGTATGTATGTATGTATGTATGTATGTATGTATGTATGTATGTATGTATGTATGTATGTATGTATGTATGTATGTATGTATGTATGTATGTATGTATGTATGTATGTATGTATGTATGTATGTATGTATGTATGTATGTATGTATGTATGTATGTATGTATGTATGTATGTATGTATGTATGTATGTATGTATGTATGTATGTATGTATGTATGTATGTATGTATGTATGTATGTATGTATGTATGTATGTATGTATGTATGTATGTATGTATGTATGTATGTATGTATGTATGTATGTATGTATGTATGTATGTATGTATGTATGTATGTATGTATGTATGTATGTATGTATGTATGTATGTATGTATGTATGTATGTATGTATGTATGTATGTATGTATGTATGTATGTATGTATGTATGTATGTATGTATGTATGTATGTATGTATGTATGTATGTATGTATGTATGTATGTATGTATGTATGTATGTATGTATGTATGTATGTATGTATGTATGTATGTATGTATGTATGTATGTATGTATGTATGTATGTATGTATGTATGTATGTATGTATGTATGTATGTATGTATGTATGTATGTATGTATGTATGTATGTATGTATGTATGTATGTATGTATGTATGTATGTATGTATGTATGTATGTATGTATGTATGTATGTATGTATGTATGTATGTATGTATGTATGTATGTATGTATGTATGTATGTATGTATGTATGTATGTATGTATGTATGTATGTATGTATGTATGTATGTATGTATGTATGTATGTATGTATGTATGTATGTATGTGTGTGTGTGTGTATGTATGTATGTGTGTGTGTGTATGTATGTATGTATGTATGCATGTATGTATGTATGCATGTATGTTTGTACGTGCGTATGTACGTGTGTGCGTATGTACGTATGTACGTATATACGTATATATGTACGTCAGTTTGTGTGTATGTATGTATGTATGCTTTAATGACTTGTTATCAATCTATGAACAGCGGAGCTACTGGGTCCCAACTGCTGTAGAAGAAAAGGAGTTACCAGACATCCCCCCTGAGGAGGAAAAATACTTTGAGACGCCGAACAGCGATTGGAAAGCCGGGATCCAAGTCCGAAACTTAATTAAGGTAAAATTGTAGTACAACGAAATAGTGTGACATATAAGCCAACACATGCAAGCACCGTGTAAACAGAGTGAGGGTTAGATTTCTCGGGTCATAGTTGTTGGTTGCTGGTTTATCCATAGTTGTTGGGTGCTGGTTTATCCATAGTTGTTGGGTGCTGGTTTATCCATAGTTGTTGGGTGCTGGTTTATCCATAGTTGTTGGGTGCTGGTTTATCCATAGTTGTTGGGTGCTGGTTTATCCATAGTTGTTGGGTGCTGGTTTATCTATAGTTGTTGGGTGCTGGTTTATCCATATATGTTGGGTGCTGGTTTATCTATAGTTGCTGGGTGCTGGTTTATCCATAGTTGTTGGGTGCTGGTTTATCCGTAGTTGTTGGGTGCTGGTTTATCCATAGTTGTTGGGTGCTGGTTTAACCATAGTTGTTGGGTGCTGGTTTATCCATAGTTGTTGGGTGCTGGTTTATCCATAGTTGTTGGGTGCTGGTTTATCCATAGTTGTTGGGTGCTGTTTTATCAATTTGCCGCTGAGAATCCAGGTGTATGTTAATTACCCTCCTTATTATTCAGGTAGAACACGGACGTCACGGGACGATTTATCTAACAATTATATTGCCGTATCCATAATGTATCGCACTCTTTAAAATAAACATAGGTGCCATAACTTTCACGGGGTAGCCGGGGTGCCAAATCTCATCCTGCAGGGGCGCCACCCTACCGAAATTATTTTTTCCTTCGCAATAACTTGCAACAAATGTTCATGTATTTTGGATGAACTGAGCAGTAATACATAAAAGACAAACACACCCACAAACACTCATACGTACATTTATTTACATATATATTGTTACGATCACACGGGATCTGTACCTGTGTTGGCCTTATCTGAGGGGAAACGACCTGACGCCCATAAACTAAGGAGACGGGTGACCAGCGCTCGAATAGCCGGGCAGGAATTAAAATGAAATGTGGAGGCATGTTCGTGAACTGAGCGGTCCGGCCAGAGCTATGATGTATGGCCGTGAGAAACCCGGGAGGCCGGCCAATCAGATCGCTAGATTGACGCTGTGTATAGGGACGGTCTATAGATTATGACTTGAACGCTCAAAGGACTGGTCAGTATTGACCGAGGGAAGCTTGGGGGTGGTCTAATAAGATTTTGACACCAGTGTTGGTGCACAATTACGCCTGCACCTGGTGGACCTGGACTTTCGTTATAGGAGGGGTTAGAGACGGTTAAGGGTAGACTGGGGACAGAGACATACACGGATAGCTAGGGTAAGGATACTCATGGGACGTCTCTGTTAGCTGGCGGCAAGCCACGAGATGTCTGTTCTGTAGTAGACCTAGCATAGGGACAAAGTAGAGTAGTCGGAATAAGGACTTTAGTTATTGGAGATATTTTTCTGTTTTCATGTGGTGGCGGTTAATTGTTATTGTGGTAATTGTCGTGAGACTATGTTGTCTGAGACAATGTTGTGAGACAATGTTGTGAGACAATGTTGTGAGACAATGTTGTGAGACAATGTTGTGAGACAATGTTGTGAGACAATGTCGTGAGACAATGTTGTGAGACAATGTTGTGAGACAATGTTGTGAGACAATGTTGTGAGACAATGTCGTGAGACAATGTTGTGAGACAATGTTGTGAGACAATGTTGTGAGACAATGTTGTGAGACAATGTTATGAGACAATGTTGTGAGACAATGTTGTGAGACAATGTTGTGAGACAATGTTGTGAGACATTGTTGTGAGACAATGTTATGAGACAATGTTGTGAGACAATGTTGTGAGACAATGTTGTGAGACAATGTTGTGAGACAATGTTGTGAGACCATAAAATCTAGTTGTATATTTTAGCTAATGCCGGTGTAAACTAGAAATGGTCAAGAAATTCGTCAAGCCCTAAACGTTTCATCATATCACTGTAAACATTAATTAGATTAAGAATATTTTTTAATCACGTTTGTAATCATCTCAAGATGTTGCATGGTTAACTGTATTCTTTCTACTGTTTATAGATCTACTTTGCTTATACCACTAGTATTTTTTCGTTTATACTGCTACTACTGTTTGTAGTTTATTTATACTACAAATACTGTTTGTAGATTTTTAAACTACGCTAACTGTTAGTAGTTTTTATACTGCTCCAATTGTTTGTAGTTTTTATACTGCTCCAATTGTTTGTAGTTTTTATATTGCTTCTACTTATTGTAGTTTTTATACTACTACTTGCTGTTTGTAGTTTTTATATTGCTACTTACTGTTTGTAGTTTTTATACTGCTACTTGCTGTTTGTAGTTTTTATACTGCTTCTACTGTTTGTAGTTTTTATACTGCTACTAACTGTTTGTAGTTTTTATACTGCTACTACTGTTTGTATTTTTTTGCTGCTTCTACTTTTGTAGTTTTTATACTGCTTCTACTTTTTGTAGTTTTTATACTGCTACTTGCTGTTTGTAGTTTTTATACTGCTACTTGCTGTTTGTAGTTTTTATATTGCTACTTACTGTTTGTAGTTTTTATACTGCTACTTGCTGTTTGTAGTTTTTATACTGCTTTTACTTTTTGTAGTTTTTATACTGCTACTTGCTGTTTGTAGTTTTTATACTGCTACTAACTGTTTGTAGTTTTTATACTGCTACTACTGTTTGTATTTTTTGCTGCTTCTACTTTTGTAGTTTTTATACTGCTTCTACTTTTTGTAGTTTTTATATTGCTACTACATTTTGTAGTTTTTATACTGCTACTTGCTGTTTGTAGTTTTTTATACTGCTACTACTGATTGTAGTTTTTATACTGCTACTACTGATTGTAGTTTTTATACTGCTACTGCTGATCTCCAGATGTTTGGTAAAAATGTCGCCGTTGCTGGAACAAATATGGACGTGTACGAGGGGCAGATAACCGTGTTGCTAGGTCATAACGGGGCAGGGAAGACAACTACAATCAACATGATCACAGGTGGGTCAGTGTTCAAATACATTAGCGTTTAATTATGTGTGGGGAATCAAACTCCCAGCCATGTTACAACCACATGTATAATCTGTGTGGGAAATCTTGAAGCTAAACTCTTCAGCTTAAAGCCAGCTTATGTATAAACAAAATTTCAACTTGTTAGGTTTCCTGCCTCCCACAAGTGGAACCATTACCGTACATGGTCTGGACATGCGTAAGAATACTGACGCTGCCAGAAAATCTATTGGCTTTTGTCCTCAACACGACATCCTGTTCGCTAAACTCACATGCAAGGAACACCTCATCTTTTTTCTCAAGGTAATGTAGAGACTTTAATTAAACAGGTGATTAGCTAGAGGGTTGTCGTGAGTTTCTGACTCACCGAGCCAGGCGCCACCCGACACAGTGGACTCTAGACTAGTGAGGATGTTTACACTATGTTTGTAAATGTTGTAGGCCACTGATGCTTGTAAATGTTGTAGGCCACTGATGCTTGTAAATGTTGTAGGCCACTGATGCTTGTAAATGTTGTAGGCCACTAATGCTTGTAGGCCACTGATGCTTGTAGGCCACTGATGCTTGTAAATGTTGTAGGCCACTAATGCTTGTAGGCCACTGATGCTTGTAGGTCACTGATGCTTGTAAATGTTGTAGGCCACTGATGCTTGTAAATGTTGTAGGCCACTGATGCTTGTAGGCCACTGATGCTTGTAAATGTTGTAGGCCACTGATGCTTGTAGGCCACTGATGCTTGTAAATGTTGTAGGCCACTGATGCTTGTAGGCCACCGATGCTTGTAGGCCACTGATGCTTGTAAATGTTGTAGGCCACTGATGCTTGTAAATGTTGTAGGCCACTGATGCTTGTAGGCCACTGATGCTTGTAGGCCACTGATGCTTGTAGGCCACTGATGCTTGTAAATGTTGTAGGCCACTGATGCTTGTAAATGTTGTAGGCCACTGATGCTTGTAAATGTTGTAGGCCACTGATGCTTGTAGGCCACTGATGCTTGTAAATAATGTAGGCCACTGATGCTTGTAGGCCACTGATAATTGTAACTGTTGTAGGCTGACTGAACTCTAACACTTGTTATCTTAATGTAACAATTGCCTTTTATCCAACAGATAAAAGGAAAATACAAAAAGGAATTGATGCCTGCGATTATCGAGCGCTTGAACTCTGTCGGTCTGGGTGGAAAAATTAACGATTATTCCAGTCAACTGTCTGGTGGTCAGAAGCGGAAGTTGTCACTAGCCTGTGCATTCAGTGGTGATACACAGGTAAGCCTTCGTAAGTTGTCACTAGCCTGTGCATTCAGTGGTGATACACAGGTAAGCCTTCGTATGTTGTCACTAGCCTGGCATTCAGTGGTGATACACAGGTAAGCCTTCGTAAGTTGTCACTAGCCTGTGCATTCAGTGGTGATACACAGGTAAGCCTTCGTATGTTGTCACTAGCCTGTGCATTCAGTGGTGATACACAGGTAAGCCTTCGTAAGTTGTCACTAGCCTGTGCATTCAGTGGTGATACACAGGTAAGCCTTCGTATGCTGTCACTAGCCTGGCATTCAGTGGTGATACACAGGTAAGCCTTCGTAAGTTGTCACTAGCCTGTGCATTCAGTGGTGATACACAGGTAAGCCTTCGTATGTTGTCACTAGCCTGGCATTCAGTGGTGATACACAGGTAAGCCTTCGTATGTTGTCACTAGCTTGTGCATTCAGTGGCGATAGACAGGTAAGCCTTCGTATGTTGTCACTAGCCTGTGCATTCAGTGGTGATACACAGGTAAGCCTTCATATTTAAGTATTAGAAATTCTTTAAAACAATGCAAGTAAAAGAGTTTAATTATTACTACAATTAAAAACGTGTATTCTATTAATTTTACGCATATATAAAAGGTCGTCTTTCTGGACGAGCCATCGACCGGCCTTGACCCCGCCGCCAGACAGGAAATGTGGGCTTTCCTAAAGACAATGAGAGAAGGTCGAACCATCCTTTTAACGACCCATTACATGGACGAGGCAGATGTACTGGGCGACAGAATCGCCATCATGGCGGAGGGGAGAGTTAAATGCTGCGGCACACCAATGTTTTTAAAGAGGGTTTATGGTGAGTAAATTAGATGGTTCAGTGTTGTAGCACACTCATGTTTTTAAAGAGGGTTTATGGTGAGTAAATTAGATGGTTCAGTGTTGTAGCACACCCATGTTTTTAAGGAGAGTTTATGGTGAGTAAATCACATGTTTCAGTGTTGTAGCACACCCATGTTTTTAAGGAGAGTTTATGGTGAGTAGGGCATCAAATTTAAATTAAAGCTAAAATTTAGAACACGATTGTTTTGCTCTGATAAAAAATGATCTGAATATTCTTGCATTTTTAATTATATTCGCTGTTATTGAGTTTAACCCACAGTGCATCAGATGTTCTCATTTCAAATGTTAAATGCTTACATACCCAGGCGCTGGGTACAGGTTGAAGATTGTCAAGCAGCCTGGCTGTAACACTGACGCTGTCACTCAACAGATCAATCAGATACTCCCTCAAGCTAAATTTATGGTAACTGTCGGAACGTAGAAATAGAGATTCTAACTATTAGAAACGGTTGAAATTCAAATCATTGTCGTAATGAAGACTAAACTTCTGATAACACCAACACTTCTCACCAAAACCAACATTGATTCATGTATTGATGTATTCCTGTAGAACATATGTTAGACCATCTATTGTTGTATTCCTGTAGAACAGATGTTACACCATCTATTGATATATTGCTGTAGATGTTACACCATCTATTGATGTATTCCTGTAGATGTTAGACCATCTATTGATATATTGCTGTAGATGTTACACCATCTATTGATGTATTCCTGTAGAGTGTAGATGTTAGACCATCTATTGATGTATTCCTGTAGAACAAATGTTACACCATCTATTGTTGTATTCCTGTAGATGTTAGACCATCTATTGATATATTGCTGTAGATGTTAGACCACCTTTTCATGTATTCCTGTAGAGCGAAACCAACTCTGAGATAGACTACCTGTTGCCTGAAATCGTGACAGAAAAGTTCCCTCAGCTGCTGAAGATTCTAGAAGACGACACACGGAGGCTACAAATAAACGGCTTTGGGCTCACAGCAACATCAATGGAGGATGTTTTTGTTAAGTTCGTTCAACCTGTTCATTATTTCTGCTGTTTGTGGTGATGTATTTTTTGTTTTATCTTTACTTGTTTTACTGCCGCTGAAATGTATTACTAATATTTTTATAGAGTAGGAGAGGGTGTGACTGCTGAGGATATAGCGGCAGCTGTTGAAGAGGAGGTCCCTCTAGCGTAGGTGATGTATGAATCTTACACTAAACAATAGATCAAACAATTCATAACGACACAGGAATCTTACACTAAACAATAGATCAAACAATTCATAACGACACATGAATCTTGCACTAAACAATAGATCCAACAATTTATAACGACACATGAATCTTACACTAAACAATAGATCAAACAATTTATAATGACACATGAATCTTTAAACAATAGATCCAACAATTTATAACGACACATGAATCTTACACTAAACAATGGATCAAACAATGTATAATGACACATGAATCTTACACTAAACAATAGATCCAATAATTTATAACGACACATGAATCTTACACTAAACAATAGATCCAACAATTTATAACGACACATGAATTTTACACTAAACAATAGATCAAACAATGTATAATGACACATGAATCTTACACTAAACAATAGATCCAACAATTTATAACGACACAGGAATCTTACTCTAAACAATAGATCCAACAATTTATAAGCAGACATGAATCTTACTCTAAAAAATAGATCCAATAATTTATAACGACACATGAATCTTACACTAAACAATGGATCCAACAATTCATAAAGACACAGGAATCTTACACTAAACAATACATCCAACAATTTATAACGACACAGGAATCTTTCACTAAACAATAGATCCAACAATTTATAACGACACATGAATCTTACACTAAACAATAGATCTAACAATTTATAACGACACATGAATCTTACACTAAACAATAGATCAAACAATGTATAATGACACATGAATCTTACTCTAAACAATAGATCCAACAATTTATAAGCAGACATGAATCTTACTCTAAAAAATAGATCCAATAATTTATAACGACACATGAATCTTACACTAAACAATGGATCAAACAATGTATAATGACACATGAATCTTACACTAAACAATAGATCCAACAATTTATAACGACACATGAATCTTACACTAAACAATAGATCAAACAATGTATAACGACACATGAATCTTACAATAAACAATGGATCAAACAATGTATAATGACACATGAATCCTGCACTAAACAATAGATGCAACAATTTATAACGACACATGAATCTTTAATCAAGAGATCGAACAATTTATAACGACACATGAATTTTACACTAATTAATAGATCCATTAATTTACAACGACACATGAATCTTACACTAAACAATAGATCCAACAATTTATAACGACACATGAATCTTACTCTAAACAATAGATCCAACAATTTATAACGACACATGAATCTTACACTAAACAATATGTTGATATGCTTTTAAATTACAACATTTGAAGAAAATTAAACTACAAACAGCTTTTAATGTAAGAATTTGTGCACACATTTTTTTTTACACAGCGCCAATGAAGTCCACAATGTCGAAAAAACATCGAAGATTGATTCTGGTACAATGTAGGTTGTCTGCATTTATTTACATATTTATTAAAATATTTAACAAACGAAAAATCAAAACATGAAACATGTTTTATAAATAATTAACTCTCACGTAATATTTGAAGGCAAATAAAATGTAAGTTCGCTAGTTTAGGTGTAATATATAGTTAGTCGAGGCATATTTTGATTTCCAACGTTAGATATTGCAAAATCGTGACACAACACAAGGATCGAATACAGTTTTATTGTATCGATGTTTTAAATTATAATTTCTTGTTTAAATTTTAAATAGTATGAGAAAGTTAATTTTCTACACCTATACCAACACCTGCACCCAAACCCACACTTACACCTACACCTACACTTACACCTACACCTACACCTACACTTACACCTACACCTACACCTACATCTACACCTACACCTACACCTACACCTACACCTGCACCTACACCTACACTTACACCTTCACCTACACCTTCACCTACACCTACACCTACACCTACGCCTACACCTACACCTTCACCTACACCTACACCTACACCTATAACCTCACCTACTTGATAAAGCTTCATCCCCCACCACTTTCTCTCCTGACAGAGTAATTGATATGGCTGCGTCAGACCCAAGGTAAATCCTACATTCATTATTTTATCCAATTTATTTCCCCACAAATGTCTGATAGCTGCATGTCTTGCTGTAGAAAAATAGCACAGGTCTAGCTGTAGAAAAATAGCACAGGTCTAGCTGTAGAAAAATAGCACAGGTCTAGCTGTAGAAAATAGCACAGGTCTAGCTGTAGAAAATAGCACAGGTCTAGCTGTAGAAAAATAGCACAGATCTAGCTGTAGAAAAATAGCACATGTCTTGTATTCTGTGTTCGAAATGGGCTGAACAGAGCTCCCAATTTCGTAAAACACAAAATAACTCTAAAACCTAAAAGTGACAAATTTAAACATTATTAGATGCAAGGCAACGGAAGATGTAAGGTTGTGTTAGGTTGAAAGACCCCTGCTAAAAATGGAATTTAATTACAACCTGAGAATAATTAACGATAGAAAAAGTTTCTAAATATATTTTTTTATAAATATTGTGCCGTGGTTGAAGAAAAAACAACGGATTTTTAATGTAAAAAAACTAGTTATTCAAATTCTATAATTGGTTATTGTCCAAATAACTGTCCAAACTGTACAACTCTAGATAATCAAATTACGAATTGAACTATATATATATTATATATATATATATATATATATATATATATATATATATATAATATATAATATATATATATATATATATATATATATATATATATATATATATATATATATATATATATATATATATATATATATATATATAAATATATATATATATATATATATATATATATATATATATATATATATATATATATATATATATATACTAGCTGCATCCCGTGCTCCGCCGCGGTAAATCTTTTTTAAATGTACCAACTTTGGAACAGAACAAAACAAACAAAAACATAACACAAACACAAACAAAACACAACCACAACACAACACAACCACAACACAACACAACAAAACAAACAAAAACATAACACAAACACAAACAAAACACAATCACAACACACCACAACCACAACCACAACACAACCACAACCACAACGACAACACAACCACAACATAACCACAACACAACACAACCACAAACACAACCACAACACAACCACAACACAACCACAACATAACCACAACACAACACAACCACAACACAACCACAACACAACACAACCACAACACAACCACAATACAACCACAACACAACACAACCACAACACAACCACAACACAACCACAACCACAACACAACCACAACAATAGAATCACCAACGAACAACACGCTTTTCTTAGGCATCCGCGCCCAGAGAGAGCCTTTCCAGCATTCTCTATACTATAATTCTAAATTTTCACCATCTGTTAACACCGAAAAACAAAAACAAAAAAATAGTGATTTTGAGAGATCATAGTCTAATTAGAAAATAATGTAAATAATCTTAACATTTTTTCTATTTTACTTAACATATAATAATCAATGTGGAAGTAATAAAAAAAATTAACTTAATTTATTGAGAGTGAGTTTAATATTTAAAAAAAAAACATTTTCCCATACGTCCGCGCTCAGAGAGAGCCTTTCCATTATTCTCAAAAAGTCTAATTTCACCATCTGTTTTCATAACACCGAAAAACAAAAGCAAAAAGATAGTGATTTTAGAGAAATCATAGACTAATTAGAAAAAAAAAAAAATAATATAAAAAATCTTAACATTTTTCTCTTTTAATTATGAACATTAACATATACTAATCAATGCGGTAGTAATACAAAAAAGATTAACTTAAATTATTGTTGAGATAAATATATTTTCAAATTACCTCCCTTGAAAAAAATTACCACAAAAAAAAGTTGAATTAATTAGTTTTTTCGACCTACTTTTATGGAAATGTATCCATTTTTTCTAGGAATATAAACTAAAATGATATTTGACATTGATCTTTTTAATATGTTTTAGCAATGTGCGAATATTTAATATTTTCATAACGTTATGCAAAAAAGTAAACACAGTGTCATTTATAAAATAGCTCTATGCCGCTATATAAACAAACCCTACTCTAACACTTATAATAAGACACTGCGGTGCACTGAAAAGCACAGCATGTTGCGTAGTTTACTTTTATAGTCCCAAAATCTATAGCGATGACGGACGGACGGACGGACGGAAGGAAGGAAGGACAAGCACAGCCCGCTTATATTATAGATATATATATATATATATATAAATATTGTTACAATAACTAGATCAGTAGTTTTAAATATTTAACGACTTGACTAGCTTGTTGCTATAAAATTTCAAACTTTAAAGGCTTGTTATAATATTATTTTCAAATACTTGACCAGCTAGTAACAGTATTGTTACAAATAGTCGACCAATTTGTTGCCGTATTGTTACAATGTCGAACAACTTGTTACAGTATTGTAACAATGTCGAACAACTGGTTACAGTATTGTAACAATGTCGAACAACTGGTTACAGTACTGTTACAATGTCTTCCAACTTCTCACAATAACATTTTTTTCAGATCCTCAAATGTGGATTTGTCACAGAATAATACCAAGTAAAGCAGCAAAAACTTGTTGTATTGTTGTATTTTTGTATTTTTGTATTTTTGTATTTTTGTATTTTTGTATTTTTGTATTTTTGTATTTTTGTATTTTTGTATTTTTGTATTTTTGTATTTTTGTATTTTTGTATTTTTGTATTTTTGTATTTTTGTATTTTTGTATTTTTTGTATTTTTGTATTTTTGTATTTTTGTATTTTTGTATTTTTGTATTTTTGTATTTTTGTATTTTTGTATTTTTGTGTTTTTGTGTTTTTGTGTTGTTGTGTTGTTGTGTTGTTGTGTTGTTGTGTTGTTGTGTTGTTGTGTTGTTGGGTTGTTGTGTTGTTGTGTTGTTGTGTTGTTGTGTTGTTGTGTTGTTGTATTGTTGTGTTGTTGTATTGTTGTGTTGTTGTGTTGTTGTGTTGTTGTGTTGTTGAATAATACGCTTTAATTACATTTTGGTGGAAAAATATTCTTTAAGATCATACGTATTTAATTAAGCTAATTAATTTTTTAATTTCAGACCTCGTGATGAAACGGTGGTTTCACAGTCCCAGCAACAGACAGGTTTGTATGGGTGGGGTGGGTAACAACAGACAGGTTTGTGGGGGTGGGGTGGGTAACAACAGACAGGTTTGTGGGGGTGGGGTGGGTAACAACAGACAGGTTTGTGGGGGTGGGGTGGGTAACAACAGACATGTTTGTGGGGGTGGGGTGGGTAACAACAGACAGGTTTGTGGGGGTGGGGTGGGCAGCAACAGACAGGTTTGTGGGGGTGGGGTGGGCAGCAACAGACAGGTTTGTGGGGGTGGGGTGGGTAACAACAGACAGGTTTGTGGGGGTGGGTCATATTGCCTAAATATTTATTAGATATAAGATCTGCTTACACATCTGTCCCTGAATTTCCTAAGTTTTCTTTTTTTTTTAATTGTGCTAGCATCATTTTAGAATGTTTAGTGTATTGTTGCTGCATGTCATCAAGTTGTTCATTTTGTAATATAAGTAGCTGGCAATATACACGATCCTTGGTCAAGTTATACACATTTATATAATGTGCATGTATTTGGTCAAGTTATATACATTTATATAATGTGCATGTATTTGGTCAAGTTATACACATTTATATAATGTGCATGTATTTGGTCAAGTTATACACATTTATATAATGTGCATGTATGTATTGTCTTCACTGTTCTAGACAAAATCTTCAAGATGTTTCACGTGTGTAAAAGTGGTTCAAAGCTTGGGGTCTTCGGCCAACAGCTGCGGGGGATCGTCATCAAAAAGTGGGTCCTGTTCAGACGGAACCTGATCTCCTCTCTTGTTTTAATTGCCTTACCCTCCATCATCCTCGGCATGGGGATTTACTCAGACAAAAGCAAAACCGAAACCTCCATGGAACCTATGGTATTCAGCGCTGAACATTTGACCAACGTTATCACGCCTATTGAGTCGAACGAACAGACAAACCAAGAACTGGTGAAAGAATTCAAGAAACAGTTGCCATCTTCTGAGTTCCCTGTACACGACACGGTAATCTTACATGTTCACTGCACAGTAATCTTACATGTTCACGACACAGTAATCTTACATGTTCACGACACAGTAATCTTACATGTTCACGACACGGTAATCTTACATGTTCACGACACGGTAATCTTACATGTTCACGACACAGTAATCTTACATGTTCACGACACAGTAATCTTACATGTTCACGACACAGTAATCTTACATGTTCACGACACAGTAATCTTACATGTTCACGACACGGTAATCTTACATGTTCACGACACGGTAATCTTACATGTTCACTACACAGTAATCTTACATGTTCACGACACAGTAATCTTACATGTTCACTACACAGTAATCTTACATGTTCACTACACAGTAATCTTACATGTTCACTACACAGTAATCTTACATGTTCACGACACATTAATCTTACATGTTCACGACACATTAATCGTACATGTTCACGACACAGTAATCTTACATGTTCACGACACATTAATCTTACATGTTCACGACACATTAATCTTACATGTTGACGGCCGAGGTGAATGTAATACGGGCACTAAACACGAATAAACCAAAAAGTAATTTTTTGAAGAAAAAACACTGTTGTCAAAAGATGACCTAAACATAACATGCATAGGCTTAATCCAAGGAGTCAAAACTAAAGATATCAAATTCACACATACACATACAGAGGGGAAAAACACTTCTTGTAAAATATTCACTAATTAAGCAATTATCTAACAATTAGTTAAAACTAAATAAAAATCTTTAAATCAAGGGTGAGATAATTATCACTTCTATTGATTGGGTCTTTAAATCAAGGGTCAGATAATTATCACTTCTAACTATTGATTGGGTCTTTAAATCAAGGGTCGGATAATTATCACTTCTATTGATTGGGTCTTTAAATCAAGGGTGAGATAATTAACACTTCTATTGATTGGGTCTTTAAATCAAGGGTCAGATAATTATCACTTCTAACTATTGATTGGGTCTTTAAATCAAGGGTCGGATATCACTTCTAACTATTGATTGGGTCTTTAAATCAAGGCAGAGATAATTATCACTTCTATTGATTGGGTCTTTAAATCAAGGGTCAGATAATTATCACTTCTAACTATTGATTGGGTCTTTAAATCAAGGGTCAGATAATTATCACTTCTAACTATTGATTGGGTCTTTAAATCAAGGCAGAGATAATTATCACTTCTATTGATTGGGTCTTTAAATCAAGGGTCAGATAATTATCACTTCTAACTATTGATTGGGTCTTTAAATCAAGGGTGAGATAATTATCACTTCTAACTATTGATTGGGTCTTTAAATCAAGGGTCGGATATCACTTCTAACTATTGATTGGGTCTTTAAATCAAGGCTGAGATAATTATCACTTCTAACTATTGATTGGGTCTTTAAATCAAGGCAAAGATAATTATCACTTCTATTGATTGGGTCTTTAAATCAAGCGTCAGATAATTATCACTTCTAACTATTGATTGGGTCTTTAAATCAAGGGTCGGATAATTATCACTTCTATTGATTGGGTCTTTAAATCAAGGGTGAGATAATTAACACTTCTATTGATTGGGTCTTTAAATCAAGGGTCAGATAATTATCACTTCTAACTATTGATTGGGTCTTTAAATCAAGGGTCGGATATCACTTCTAACTATTGATTGGGTCTTTAAATCAAGGGTCAGATAATTATCACTTCTAACTATTGATTGGGTCTTTAAATCAAGGCAGAGATAATTATCACTTCTATTGATTGGGTCTTTAAATCAAGGGTCAGATAATTATCACTTCTAACTATTGATTGGGTCTTTAAATCAAGCGTCAGATAATTATCACTTCTAACTATTGATTGGGTCTTTAAATCAAGGCAGAGATAATTATCACTTCTATTGATTGGGTCTTTAAATCAAGGGTCAGATAATTATCACTTCTAACTATTGATTGGGTCTTTAAATCAAGCGTCAGATAATTATCACTTCTAACTATTGATTGGGTCTTTAAATCAAGGGTCAGATAATTATCACTTCTAACTATTCATTGGGTCTTTAAATCAAGGGTCAGATAATTGTCGTTTTAATACGCTAGCTTAAACAATAAATTAATTTTGTTTTTTTAAAAGAGTTTGTCAGTTATAAATTCTGTTACACATTTGAGCCACCAAAGTTTTTAATAAACCAAATAAGTTAAATATTTATTTATCAAATTTCGTTTAGTTGTATAGTGATGTATGTTAATCTAACTACTTTAGGTGGGTAATGGTTGATGTTTATGAGACTACATCTAATCGTGTATTGATTGATGTTTAGTTATCTAAATTGATGTGTGTTTGTCTTAACTTTACCCAGTTGGACCCAAACGAGTACTTTTTGAGGTGGCTGAAAGCGAATGGAAAAGAAAAGTATGATAAAATGGTGCTGGGTGTGGTGTTTGAACAGCACGACTTTGTACATCTGTATTTCAATGGTCGGATCAGGCATGCGCCGGGAATAGCGGTACGTTTTCGGCTTACGGGTCGTCCATAAACGACGTCACAGTTGTAGGGATGAAGGGGGGTTAGGGAGGGGGGTCAGTAATTTTGTGACGGTGTGTGATGAGGGGGAGGGGGTCAGATGGTGTGATGTCACACTTTTGCATTATAAGAAAGCAATGTTAGAAAACGAATTTTAGCCGTTATTTCGCGTTTTGGAAAACTGTTTTGATAAATTGTAATAGGAATTGATTACAATACTCTATGTTGACAGAGTTCAGACACGATTTTGGAAAAAATATCGTATTTAAAAAAAAATTCATTTGCTGTTTTGAGGGGGGGGGGGGGGGGGGTGGTTGTAGGCTGAGGTGTGACGTCATTTTGGGAGTGGGGTCTGGCTTTCATGACGATGTGTGACGGAGGGGATGGGGAAAGATAAAAAATCGTCAAAAAAAGAGTGACGTCATTTATGGATGACCCCTTATCGCCCCTGTCTATTTAGCTACTGATTCGAGTAATTATTTTATAACCCCTTTATTACCTGTCTATTTAGCTAACTTTTAACAATTACTACTCAATTAATTATTGATGCATTTACTTTCCGCACTTAAATAAAATTTACACTAATATTAAAAAAGCTTAAGCTCAAATGAGCTTAATTCATACGTGACCTTTGACATTTGGAACTTGCATAAGTCGTGTCTAAAACTCATAGACTTCCCTGTGGACTCTAAACTAGATGGTCTTTAAAATTATTAAATTAGTAGAGTCAGGGGCGGAACTACAGTGCCGCCAGACCCCGCAATGCGGGGGGGCCCACGCCATTTAGGGGCCCACAGCCGACCATAATATTTTTTTATAGTTAAAAAAAATAATTTTTTAGCATTTTTTACTTGATGGTTGTTTTGCAAAAAGATTACCGTAGCTGCGGTTGGATTATCTTTATTCTATACCACCCCAGGCTCATGTATATTCTTTTTCCCTTTGTTTTTAAACCACAGTGAAAGCCGAGTCCTCTTTCTCCTACAATCAAACTTATCAAAGATAAGCAAACGTTCAAACCACTTCCATGACTTATTTCCCTTTTTTAAATAGTTAAATAGTGGTGCTCATAAGCTCCTTTTAATATATTTGTGTTAAACAAATTAAAAAGGAATTACTTCTCTTAATTATTATTCATCATAAGTATTGACTAAAGAATGATATTGTACAAAAAGGAAACGAATTTAAAATTAATAATATAAATACAAAAAAAAAAAACATAACACGAGACACCATTACTTTTACAAAGCTTTCATGTTTTATATTCTTTAACCGACTAGAGTGAAGTCTTATAGCAGAGTTAAAATAAAACTAATTTTCACAAAACAAACTGACTAACGCACTTACACACATGACATGATCTTGTAATTTGTTTTGATTGAAATTTTTTTGTCTCAAAACCCGAACAGGCCAGTAATGAGTATCATATGTTCGTATTTATATGTTTGTATATATATATATATATATATATATATATATATATATATATATATATATATATATATATATATATATATATATATATATATATATATATATATATATATATATATATATATATATATATATATATATATATATATATATATATATATATATATATATATATATATATATATGGGGGCCTAAAAAAAATTTTGCGGGGTTGCCCTTTTTTTCTAGTTCCGCCACTGAGTAGAGTATTTAATTATATATTTAAAAAAAATTATTTTCTACTTTTTAGTGCATTGCTACATAAAAGCTTGTTACTAAAACGTCTTTTATGAATTTTTTTTAAGTAGGCCTACTTTAAAATTTATTTTTAAAAATAGATTTTCATGACTAAAATCTATTGCTCACATAATAATCATGATAAAGCGCGTATAACGTGCGGAATAGTTGGATGAGACTGCCTACTAATTTAGACAAAATTTTAATTCATTCATTAAAAAATAATTAGGTATCCAATTAAGTCAAATTTAATGTCAGATTGCATTGTCTTTATTTCTTGACTCACTTGCCAACTTTGAAACGAATCTGTCAGTTAGAAGTGCCCGAAATTTCGCTTGGGCGTTTCAATCTATGACGACAGACTGTCGACAGATTGACGATGATGCAAGTTAAAGAAAAGCTTGTAAAAATTACGTAGTGTTATATAAGAATATTCGAAAAAGTTTAGGGGAAATTACTCTCGGTTTATTAATCATTTCTTTCAAGTGCCAAATTTGGGGAAAGCAATTAAAATGCTTTAGATGTTACAGAGGAAAAAATATTTAAAAATTGAGCAAATTCCCTTAATTAGTTGACCTACTTAATGTTTTGACCTACTTAATGTTTCAACTTACTTAAAGTTAATGTTGTGACCTATTTCAGGTGCAGCTAATGCTGAACGCCGAGGTAAAGAGAGTGCTGGGAGAGGAATTCTCCGTCCAATCTGGACTGAGGTACTTCTCATCAGACCTAGCTAATGAAGAGTCGCTCAAAACTTTTATGGCCTTGAACTTTGCAATGGCTCTTGTTCCTGTTGTGTTTATCTACAGCCTCATTGTAGAACGGGCAGTGAGTACACATTCAACTGAACTAATATGCTAAACTCTTCCTGTTTACATGAACTAATATGCTAAACTCTTCCTGTTTACATGAACTAATATGCTAAACTCTTCCTATTTGCATGAACTAATATGCTAAACTCTTCCTATTTACATGAACTAATATGCTACATTCTTCCTATTTACATGAACTAATATGCTACACTTTTCCATTTTACATGAACTAATATGCTACACTCTTCCTATTTACATGAACTAATATGCTACACTCTTCCTATTTACATGAACTAATATGCTAAACTCTTCCTATTTACATGAACTAATATGCTACACTCTTCCTATTTACCAATATTACAATTTTCGTTTCACGGGTTTTGTGTGATAATCGCTTTATTTTCAAGACACAAGATGCTTCAGTTCTTAATCACAACCATCTTGTCTTCTATCTCATATCTTCTGTCTCGCGATTTGTTTTCTCAATTGAGTCATCGGTCTTTTGTCTTCTGTCTATTTTCATGTCTTGTCCTCCGTCTCGTGATTTGTGTCTTGGGTCTCTCGTGTTTTGCTTTATGCTATTGGTCTACTGTCTTCTTCAGTTCCATTGTACCTGTCTGTGTTATCCGACTTGTTATGCCTTTGTCTGTCTCCAGTCTTGTGGCTCATGTTTTCTGTCATCAGTCTGTCTTGTGTCTGATGTTTTCTGCCTCCATCCTTGTGTCTTGTGTGTCTCATGTTTTCTGTCTTCAGTCTTGTTTCTCGTGTTTTCTGTCTCCATACTTGTGTCTGATGTTTTCTGCCTCCATCCTTGTGTCTTGTGTGTCTCATGTTTTCTGTCTTCAGTCTTGTTTCTCGTGTTTTCTGCCTCCATCCTTGTGTCTTGTGTGTCTCATGTTTTCTGTCTCCATCCTTGTTTCTCGTGTTTTCTGTCTCCATACTTGTGTCTGATGTTTTCTGCCTCCATCCTTGTGTCTTGTGTGTCTCATGTTTTCTGTCTTCAGTCTTGTTTCTCGTGTTTTCTGCCTCCATCCTTGTGTCTTGTGTGTCTCATGTTTTCTGTCTTCAGTCTTGTTTCTCGTGTTTTCTGCCTCCATACTTGTGTCTTGTGTGTCTCATGTTTTCTGTCTTCAGTCTTGTTTCTCGTGTTTTCTGCCTCCATCCTTGTGTCTTGTGTGTCTCATGTTTTCTGTCTTCAGTCTTGTTTCTCGTGTTTTCTGTCTCCAGTCTTGTGTCTGATGTTTTCTGCCGCCATCCTTGTGTCTTGTGTGTCTCATGTTTTCTGTCTTCAGTCTTGTTTCTCGTGTTTTCTGTCTCCATACTTGTGTCTGATGTTTTCTGCCTCCATCCTTGTGTCTTGTGTGTCTCATGTTTTCTGTCTTCAGTCTTGTTTCTCGTGTTTTCTGTCTCCATACTTGTGTCTTGTGTGTCTCATGTTTTCTGTCTTCAGTCTTGTTTCTCGTGTTTTCTGCCTCCATACTTGTGTCTTGTGTGTCTCATGTTTTCTGTCTTCATTCTTGTTTCTCGTGTTTTCTGCCTCCATCCTTGTGTCTTGTGTGTCTCATGTTTTCTGTCTTCAGTCTTGTTTCTCGTGTTTTCTGTCTCCAGTCTTGTGTCTGATGTTTTCTGCCGCCATCCTTGTGTCATGTGTGTCTCATGTTTTCTGTCTTCAGTCTTGTTTCTCGTGTTTTCTGCCTCCATCCTTGTGTCTTGTGTGTCTCATGTTTTCTGTCTTCAGTCTTGTTTCTCGTGTTTTCTGTCTCCATACTTGTGTCTGATGTTTTCTGCCTCCATCCTTGTGTCTTGTGTGTCTCATGTTTTCTGTCTTCAGTCTTGTTTCTCGTGTTTTCTGTCTCCATACTTGTGTCTGATGTTTTCTGCCTCCATCCTTGTGTCTTGTGTGTCTCATGTTTTCTGTCTTCAGTCTTGTTTCTCGTGTTTTCTGCCTCCATCCTTGTGTCTTGTGTGTCTCATGGTTTTTGTATCGTCTTGTGTGATGTATTTTAACATGATCTAGCAAACAGTAATCCTTTCCAATCGAAGAATTTTATTTTCATCTTTAGACTGGCGCCAAAGTTTTATATTCATCTTTAAACGGTTTCGTGACAAATGATCTCAGGACAAATGATCTCAGACAAAATATCTGAGACAAAATATCTCTCGGACAAATGATCTCAGGACAAATGATGTCACGGACAAAAGATATCAGGACATTTGTCTGAGATCATTTGTCTGAGATCATTTGTCTGAGATCATTTGTCTGAGATCATTTGTCTGAGATCATTTGTCTGAGATCATTTGTCCTGTCACCCTATAGACTGGTGCCAAACACCTCCAAACACTGAGCGGCGTCCACCCTATTGCCTATTGGTTAGGGACGTTTGTCATAGACTTCCTGGTCATGCTGCTCTTGATAGTACTCACGCTGTGCCTGCTGACATTGAACCCAAAAACCTTCATAGACAACGACCGCTGGTTGGTGCTGTTGATCGGGTTTCTCTGCTTTGGCTGCACCACGTTTCCCTTCCTATACCTCGTGCAGAATATTTTCTCCTCCCCATCCCGAGGTATCGTGGTCCTTCTCATCGCCAACGTCGTCATCGGTAAGTTATTGTTTCTCTTAGCATCACCAACGTCGTCATCGGTAAGTTACTGTTTCTCTTAGTTCATGTGGATATGTTCTTAGTTTTTTCAACTTATAGCTGTTGATATTATAGGTTCATGTGGATTTCTGTTTAGTGTTTTGTCAGCTTATAGCTATCGATATTACTTTTTTTTCAATATGAGATATGCAACAGAGAGCATTATTGCATGGATTTAGATAATGACCGTTTGACAAATTCTATTAAAGTTTGCACTGGTCAGGTCAAATTTATATGTATGATGATGGGTCAGGGATTTATTTTGGCTGAATTTCTGGCATGTCCATCTGGTTAATGCTTATATCGTTATGTGAACTAGCACCAAATGAACATGAATGTTTTATTACAGCTAATCCCATTATGTGAACTAGCACCAAATGAACATGAATGTTTTATTACAGCTAATGCCATTATGTGAACTAGCATCAAATGAACATGCCTTAGTCTACCATTCACTTATAAATTTTGCTTGCTCATAGTCCTGTTTCTATTTCAGGTGTGGTTATCGGCCTTATTATTGGTATGCTTAAAATGATGGGAGTCACATTGACTGGCATGTACTTCTATCTCGATCTGGCCTTCGGCTACATTTCTCCAAGTTACTCGCTGTCCGTCATTCTAACGACAGTACTGGGAGTCAATTCAAAGATTGCAAGTACGTCTATGGTGACAATTATGGGAGGATGGTTGCAGTGTGTAGTCTGTGAGTTCAATTTGAGGGCGGAGGTTGCAGTGTGTAGTCTGTGAGTTCAATTTGAGGACGGAGGTTGCAGTGTGTAGTCTGTGAGTTCAATTTGAGGGCGGAGGTTACAGTGTGTAGTCTGTGAGTTCAATTTGAGGGCGGAGGTTGCAGTGTGTAGTCTGTGAGTTCAATTTGAGGATGGAGGTTGCAGTGTGTAGTCTGTGAGATCAATTTGAGGGCGGAGGTTGCAGTGTGTAGTCTGTGAGTTCAATTTGAGGGCGGAGGTTGCAGTGTGTAGTCTGTGAGTTCTATTTGAGGGCGGAGGTTGCAGTGTGTAGTCTGTGAGTTCAATTTGAGGGCGGAGGTTGCAGTGTGTAGTCTGTGAGTTCAATTTGAGGGCGGAGGTTGCAGTGTGTAGTCTGTGAGTTCAATTTGAGGGCGGAGGTTGCAGTGTGTAGTCTGTGAGTTCAATTTGAGGGCGGAGGTTGCAGTGTGTAGTCTCGGGTTTTGATACTAATTTAAATGCGGATGTTTGTTGTTATAAGCTGTTCACTTATATCTTTGCGTATCTACTGGGGGGGGGGGGGGGATGTAATTAATTTCATTTTAACGACTAAAAAAATATTTTATACCTAAAAGAATGCTATTTTTAAATCAAGGAGTGACCTTAGTTATATATAGAACCACAACGTCGAGGTCGGAAACAACCTTTATTTCCACTTGATACGTGGAACATGCACACGTTGATGCTAGCGTAGAAGTTTCCAACCCAATATGGGATGTTGCCACTCAAACATTTGGAAATTTATTGACTTTATTAAAAATGAATGATCGCTCCGAAAGGTTGATTGAACACACATACAATCAGGACACTGTTTACGAAAACAGAAAAAACATAATTTCGATAGCAGCGTTCAAACATTGACTGTTGTTAAAAGTTTTAATGAGCACAACATAATAAAGTATTTGCGAGGCATGGCTCACAATCTCTATTTTTAATATTATAATTTTAATAAAACACTGGTATTTTTTCCCGTTTTTTTTTTAAATTAATTATTTTGGTTCTCATGGTCTTTGCTTTTTCCTTATATAAACCTTTATTGGGGGTTTGTGGGTTTATATCAAGGGGTTTGTGTCAGTGGGCTTATGTCAGGGGGTTTGTGTCAGGGGGGTTGTGTCAGGGGGTTTGTGTCAGGGGGTTTATGTCAGGGGGTTTATGTCAGGGGATTTGTGTCAGGGGGTTTTTGTCAGGGGGTTTGTGTCAGGGAGTTTGTGTCAGGGGGTTTGTGTCAGGGGGTTTGTGTCAGGGAGTTTATGTCAGGGGGTTTATGTCAGGGGGTTTATGTCTGGGGCTTCAAAGGAATAAATCAATGAATAGAATCTAACACATCACAAACCTTACGTCTGAGCTACAAACATGTCTACAAAACTAGCGCTACACCTGCAATCTCAGATAGAGACTGTGGATAACTCATTAAGGACTAACCTTTAACAACACACATGGTCACGTCGATAACCTTTAACAACACACATGGTCACGTCGCTAACCTTTGACAACACACATGATCACGTCGATAACCTTTGACAACACACATGATCACGTCGATAACCTTTGACAACACACATGATCACGTCGATAACCTTTGACAACACACATGATTAGTGCCCTGACCACCGACCTATATGGAGATGCACATGACATTTAAACTAAATATTCTCCTTTTTTTTGCTTTCACCCAGAGAACTTCACCGAAATGATGGATTATAACAACCAAATATTGCCTGAAGTCTTCTACAAGTTTCTGGGACAGGCAGCCGTTTCGTGGATACTTATTTTGTTTATAGAATACAAGCTCCACAGATTTATATGGTAACATTTTCTCAATTGACCAACTTTTATTCCACCCGAATCATTTTCTTAATTGACCAACTTTTATTCCACCTAAAAAATTTCTCAATTGACCAACTTTTATTCCGCCTAAAAATTTTCTCAATTGACCAACTTTTATTCCACCTAAAAATTTTCTCATTGGATCAACTTTTATTCCACCTAATCTCATGTTTGTCAAGTCTTCTTATTTAATTATAATCACCGTCGACATAATTCATGTGGATCCATTGTGGAGCATAGGGACGGCACCTCTCCATGACAAGTTGGCTCCACGCCATCCGCCCGCTTCTCCTACAGCTGACCTTATATCAGGTTGTTTTAGCCTACCTAATTTCCCCTTTCCTTTAGGATTCCAATCTAGTACCTGTCTATTGGTATTGATATAGTTGGTTTACGCAAGGTGTGTCCCATCCATTTGCGCTTTTATATTTCTTTGCCAACAGGATCTCGCCCAGTTTTTCTCCACAGGTCGGTATTTGTTATCGTTTCAGGCCACTTAATGTTCAACAAGCGACGCAAGCATACGCTAATGGAAGAACACGTTTTACATTGCTGTTGAACAGTCACGTTTTGTAAGGTGTAGACCAGTGGTTCCCAACCTTTTTCGAGTGGCGACCCCCTTTTATAAAAATTAAGTGACCCGCGACCCCCATAGAATTAAAAAGTCGAAATTAGTATGAAAATTAATAAGCACTAAAATAAGATTTTCTATTAGACTTTCAATATGAACTACTCTTGATAACTATTTTAATAGCATGATTAAAATTGCATACTATTCACTAAACCTTCGTGGTTAAGTTTTTAATTAACAACCATTTTTGTTAACGCCAACCTATGTCATTATAATTATCTTAATTTTGTTTTTAATCAAAGAATAGTGTTGAAAATATATTCTCGAAAAGTCAATCAATTTTACGTTTGGGTATGAATGGTGAATACTACACCGAAATTGTGTATACAGTTTTTCATTTTACGCGGAATCATTCTGTAAATCAGATAATAATAATCTTGTAATTCATCGGGAACGCTGGCAACATCAAGGGAAGAAGAGAATGGGTAATGCGTCAATGTAGATTCTTCTTTTTTCAGCTCAGAGAAATAGCGATGCAGTTCGTTTTCAAGAGATTCAAGATGCCCAGAAATCGCTTCTTTCAAAATTTTAATTATCTCACAATCAGATTCATCTACCACACCGCAGAGTTTCTCAAATTTACAATATTTCCAAGATTTATTTTCTTTACCGATTTTACAGCTTTGATAAAAATGCCCCGAGATTATCATGGAAAGTTATAATATTCGTTCATTTTCCCTAAAGCTTCAGGTTAAGCTTATCTTGATGTTCGAACACATCTGCTAGGTATGAAACTCTCTCCAATCACTCTATGTCGTTTTAAGTATACCAAAAAGTCTTGTTTCCTTTGCACTTCCAAGAACAATTTGATTTCAGATTTCGTTTGACAGCCAGCGTACTGCAGTGTAGAAGAGCAGAACCTCGTGATCTATATCAATGTTTTTGCTCAGTTCTTTGAAGGCTCCAGATTTTATATAATTTACGACTTATACTAGCAATGGACTATTGGTGTCGATTGGTTAGGGCAGTGGTTAGGGAGCTAAATCTTTTCTGCTTTCTGAAAGCCCGATTTTGAGCTAAACATAGATGGCGCACCATCCGTACAAACCCACATAGCCGTTCTAACCCATTTTAATCATCCAGTTTCAAAAATGGTATTTATTTTCTCCATGCTATCTTCACAAAAGAGCAACTCTTCTTTGCTATCATCCGCATGAATATAGACATAGACCAGCAACTGCGAACACGAACTCACGTCTGTTGATTTATCAACTTGAAAAGCAAACAATGGTGAAAGCTTAATTTCGATAAAAATGTGTTATTTAACATTTACGTACATGCAGCGTTTGATGAGATTTTCCCTTATTGTTTTTTTTTTGCTTGGCATTTTCTATCGCGACTTCATTTGATGCTTGCACTAATGTTGGTGAAAACTTCCAGTTCGATCAAGTCTCTGGCGTTTGCAACTAGCTTCTTGCCGACGAAAGAACTCCATATGTTTTTGGTGTGTTCCGAATGACTCGTCTCAAATGGAGTTTTAGTTTTGAAGATTTCATAGATTCGTGACTGAGAACAACTTTGTACAGTGCGCTTTGTTTCTTCTCTATTACATTTCCAGTGATGTTAATGAAGCCGAATTTTAAAAAATCTTCTAAATATTTATGTTTTGTTTCAAATTACTGAGGTTTAGTATACCAGTTGGCGACCCCCCAGAAAGACCTTCGCGACCCCCAGGGGGGTCGCGACCCCCAGGTTGGGAACCCGTGGTGTAGACAGTGCTCTCGACGTCCAGATTGAGCGGATTGTTTTTGAAAGCATACACGGCCTGGTGCGGCTTGTGATGTCCTCATCTGCTCCCCATCCTTGCTTACTGTCTAGATATGTGAATCCATCAATCTCTCAAACAGTTGTTTCTTGTATCCTAAGTGGGAGCTTCTGTTTGTTGTTAATTCTCATCACCTCTGTTTGCCCCAGTTGATCCTGTCTAAAGTCCTTCTTCGAATCTTATTTAATAATCTACTTTCATAATATCTAAACGTCGACATAGACGGAAAGATTTGTTTTGATTTTTATTTCAGGTTAGTTAAAATATTTTAACGGTAGCCTTTGTGACTTTTCACGTGCTAAAATATTAGTTTATACTAGACTACATGTTATCCTTGGATAACTATGGATTTCGGGGGTCGTCCTACTAGTTTATATGAATTTTTGTTTTTTTAAGAGTCCGTTTTCAACTTTTATTTACATAAGCAATTCCTTCCAAAAGACTTGTTATCTATGATGTCGTTTAATCAGAGAACTCGAGAATCTGAAAAACTGGCTGCTGATACAGCTAATATTTTGAAAACCAATGATAATGAATTGAAAAAACCTAAAAATATGACAGTTGAATATATTCAGTTGTAAAGACAGAAAGAAGTATGCTTTGGGTGATCAGAGAGCGCGTGCTTTGATATTACCATGCATAAAAAGAACAAAAACATCCGGTTAAGGGTATAAGGTTGGGATAAAAAAATAATTTTTTAATGCTAGAGAGCAAACAATTTTTTCTTTCCATTAACAATAATTGGTGGGAAAATTTTGGTTACACCATGAAAACGGCGGCCATCTTTAAAAAGTAACGTCTTCATAGGATGTCCACTATTCATAAAGTGTTATATTTTAAGACCAATAAACAATCAATTCATAACCTACCATATTTTGGGGTACTCAGCTAAAAATGTTTAGGGCAGATCGACAAACAAATTTATTATGAAATTTCAAATTTTGCGTCCGTTAAAAACACTAAATTTTGGGAACTTTGGGGCGGTAAATGAGTTTGAAGATATGCAGTTACAATTTTTAGCTGAGTAGGCCCTACCCCAAAATATGGTAGAAATTCATAATCTGGACAAAACCGTTGCTCTATGTTGATCTAACTTCATACAGGTACAATATACCGTGTCTTGGGTCACTTATCTGTAAAGGAAAATCTCAGGAAACGGTGGCAAAAGAAGACGATGACGTCAGTAATGAGCGAAAAAGAGTACATGGATCCAAAAAGGAAGATCTTGTCAACAAAGGTAGATCTAGTTATTCTATCAAACGCAGAGAGATTTTCCCTTTTTCACATTCTCTTTATCGCTTGCAAATCTGACGAAATAAAGTCTAGCTTGCCTGGTATTAATTATTGTTTATAGTCATTTCAAAAGTAAGGCCTTATAAATAGTCACCATCACAATCTGTTTTATAAATACATAATACAAGCGACTCACGGATTACACAGTGTCTTCCTACACACCTACACAATGTCTTCCCACACACCCAACATAATGTCTTCCCACACACCCAACACAATCTCTTCCCACACACCAAACACAATGTCTTCCCACACACCAAACACAATGTCTTCCCACACACCCAACACAATGTCTTCCCACACACCAAACACAATGTCTTCCCACACACCAAACATAACGTCTACCCGCACACTTAACACAATGTCTTACCACACACCCAACACAATGTCTTCCTATACAACAAACACAATGTCTTCCCACACACCAAACACAATGTCTTCCCACACACCAAACACAATATCTTCCCACACACCCAACACAATGTCTTCCCACACACTTAACACAATCTCTTCCCACACACCCAACACAATGTCTTCCCACACACCAAACACAATGTCTTCCAATACACCCAACACAATGTCTTCCCACACACCAAACATAACATCTACCCGCACACTTAACACAATGTCTTCCCACACACCCAATACAATGTCTTCCTACACACCAAACACAATCTCTTCCCACACACCAAACACAATGTCTTCCCACACACCAAACACAATGTCTTCCCACACACCAAACACAATGTCTTCCCACACACCAAACACAATGACTTCCCACACACTTAACACAATGTCTTCCCACACACCAAACACAATGTCTTCCCACACACCCAACACAATGTCTTCCCACATAATTAACACAATGTCTTCCCACACACCAAACACAATGTCTTCCCACACACCAAACACAATGTCTTCCCACACACCAAACACAATGTATTCCCACACACCAAACACAATGTCTTCCCACACACCAAACACAATGTCTTCCCACACACCCAACACAATGTCTTCCCACATAATTAACACAATGTCTTCCCACACACCAAACACAATGTCTTCCCACACACCAAACACAATGTTTTCCCACACACCAAACACAATTTCTTCCCACATAATTAACACAATGTCTTCCCACACACCAAACACAATGTCTTCCCACACACCAAACACAATGTCTTCCCACACACCCAACACAATCTCTTCCCACACACCCAACACAATGTCTCCTCACACACTTAACACAATGTCTTCCCGCACACCCAACACAATGTCTTCCCACACACCAAACACAATCTCTTCCCACACACCAAACACAATGTCTTCCCACACACTTAACACAATGTCTTCCCACACACCAAACACAATGTCTTCCCACACACCAAACACGATATCTTTCCACACACCAAACACAATCTCTTCCCACACACCAAACACAATGTCTTCCCACACACTTAACACAATGTACTCCCACACACCAAACACAATCTCTTCCCACACACCAAACACAATGTCTTCCCACACACTTAACACAATGTCTTCCCACACACTTAACACAATGTCTTCCCACACACTTAACACAATCTCTTCCCACACACTAAACACAATGTCTTCCCACACACCCAACACAATGTCTTCCCACACACCCAACACAATCTCTTCCCACACACCAAACATAACATCTACCCGCACACTTAACACAATGTCTTCCCACACACCAAACACAATGTCTTCCCACACACCAAACACAATGTCTTCCCACACACCCAACACAATGTCTTCCCACACACCAAACACAATCTCTTCCCACACACTTAACACAATGTCTTCCCACACACCCAACACAATGTCTTCCCACACACTTAACACAATCTCTTACCACACACCAAACACAATGTCTTCCCACACACCCAACACAATGTCTTCCCACACACTTAACACAATGTCTTCCCACACACCCAACACAATGTCTTCCCACACACCCAACACAATGTCTTCCCACACACCCAACACAATGTCTTCCCACACACCCAACACAATCTCTTCCCACACACCCAACACAATGTCTTCCCACACACCCAACACAATGTCTTCCCACATAATTAACACAATGTCTTCCCACACACCAAACACAATGTCTTCCCACACACCAAACATAACGTCTACCCGCACACTTAACACAATGTCTTACCACACACCCAACACAATGTCTTCCTATACAACAAACACAATGTCTTCCCACACACCAAACACAATGTCTTCCCACACACCCAACACAATCTCTTCCCACACACCCAACACAATGTCTTCCCACACACCAAACACAATGTCTTCCAATACACCCAACACAATGTCTTCCCACACACCAAACATATCATCTACCCGCACACTTAACACAATGTCTTCCCACACACCCAACACACTGTCTTCCAACACACCCAATACAATGTCTTCCCACACACCAAACACAATGTCTTCCCACACACCAAACACAATGACTTCCCACACACTTAACACAATGTCTTCCCACACACCAAACACAATGTCTTCCCACACACCAAACACAATGTCTTCCCACACACCCAACACAATGTCTCCTCACACACTTAACACAATGTCTTCCCGCACACCAAACACAATGTCTTCCCACACACCAAACACAATCTCTTCCCACACACCAAACACAATGTCTTCCCACACACCCAACACAATGTCTTCCCACACACCAAACACAATGTCTTCCCACATAATTAACACAATGTCTTCCCACACACCAAACACAATGTCTTCCCACACACTTAACACAATGTCTTCCCACACACCAAACACAATGTCTTCCCACACACCAAACACAATGTCTTCCCACACACCAAACACAATCTCTTCCCACACACCAAACACAATGTCTTCCCACACACCAAACACAATCTCTTCCCACACACCAAACACAATGTCTTCCCACACACCAAACACAATGTCTTCCCACACACCAAACACGATATCTTTCCACACACAAAACACAATCTCTTCCCACACACCAAACACAATGTCTTCCCACACACTTAACACAATGTATTCCCACACACCAAACACAATGTCTTCCCACACACCAAACACAATGTCTTCCCACACACCAAACACAATCTCTTCCCACACACCAAACACAATGTCTTCCCACACACTTAACACAATGTCTTCCCACACACTTAACACAATGTCTTCCCACACACTTAACACAATCTCTTCCCACACACTAAACACAATGTCTTCCCACACACCCAACACAATGTCTTCCCACACACCCAACACAATCTCTTCCCACACACCAAACATAACATCTACCCGCACACTTAACACAATGTCTTCCCACACACCCAACACAATGTCTTCCCACACACCCAACACAATGTCTTCCCACATAATTAACACAATGTCTTCCCACACACCAAACATAACATTTACCCGCACACTTAACACAATGTCTTCCCACACACCCAACACAATGTCTTCCCACACACTTAACACAATCTCTTACCACACACCAAACACAATGTCTTCCCACACACCCAACACAATGTCTTCCCACACACCCAACACAATCTCTTCCCACACACCCAACACAATGTCTTCCCACACACCCAACACAATGTCTTCCCACACACCCAACACAATCTCTTCCCACACACCCAACACAATGTCTTCCCACACACCCAACACAATGTCTTCCCACACACCCAACACAATGTCTTCCCACACACCCAACACAATGTCTTCCCACATAATTAACACAATGTCTTTCCACACACCAAACACAATCTCTTCCCACACACCAAACACAATGTCTTCCCACACACCAAACACAATGTCTTCCCACACACCAAACACAATCTCTTCCCACACACTTAACACAATGTCTACCCGCACACTTAACACAATGTCTTCCTACACACCAAACGCAATCTCTTCCCACACACCAAACACAATGTCTTCCCACACACCAAACACAATGTTTTCCCACACACCAAACACAATGTCTTCCCACACACCCAACACAATGTCTTCCCACACACCCAACACAATGTTTTCCCACACACCCAACACAATGTCTTCCCACACACCAAACACAATCTCTTCCCACACACCAAAAACAATGTTTTCCCACACACCAGATACAATGTCTTCCCACACACCCAACACAATGTCTTCCCACACACTTAACACAATCTCTTCCCACACACCCAACACAATGTCTTCCCACACACTTAACACAATCTCTTCCCACACACCAAACACAATGTCTTCCCACACACCAAACACAATGTCTTCCCACACACTTAACACAATGTCTTCCAACACACCAAACACAATGTCTTCCCACACAGCCAACACAATGTCTTCGCACACACTTAACACAATCTCTTCCCACACACCAAACACAATGTCTTCCCACACACCCAACACAATGTCTTCCCACACACCCAACACAATGTCTTCCCACACACCAAACACAATGTCTACCCGCACACTTAACACAATGTCTTCCAACACACCAAACACAATGTCTTCCCACACAGCCAACACAATGTCTTCGCACACACTTAACACAATCTCTTACCACACACCAAACACAATGTCTTCCCAACCACCCAACACAATGTCTTCCCACACACCCAACACAATGTCTTCCCACACACCCAACACAATGTCTTCCTATACACCAAACACAATGTCTTCCCAACCACCCAACACAATGTCTTCCCACACACCAAACACAATCTCTTACCACACACCAAACACAATGTCTTCCCAACCACCCAACACAATGTCTTCCCACACACCAAACACAATCTCTTACCACACACCAAACACAATGTCTTCGCACACACTTAACACAATCTCTTACCACACACCAAACACAATGTCTTCCCAACCACCCAACACAATGTCTTCCCACACACCCAACACAATGTCTTCCCACACACCCAACACAATGTCTTCCCACACACCCAACACAATGTCTTCCCACGCTAAAAAATGAATGTGTTCCTCTCTGTTTCAGACGCCCTTCTTCTGATCGACCTGAAGAAAGTCTACTGTGGTCTTTTCGGCTCGACAAAGACGGCGGTCCACCCCGTTAGCTTTGGGGTGCCAGACAAGGAGTGCCTAGGGTTGCTGGGACAGAATGGAGCTGGGAAGACAACCATCTTTAAAATGTTGACAGGGGACATCACTTTATCTGCAGGAGAGGCTTACGTAGGCGGCTATAATATCAAATCACACCTCAAAAAAGTGAGTTCTGTTTTTACTTGTAAAATGTTCAAATTTCCCCTTTCTTCTACAAGTTGTACCATCACCCAGACGACGATTTTGCTTAAATTTTAACCCATATCTCATAGATAAATTGACCCAATCGTAAACCCCTAACCCGCTTGACATTTGCACACATGACTCTTGGCATCATGGGACGGAGTGGTCTAGAGGTAGAGAGCTGGACTGCTAACCCGTAAGTCTCGAGTTCGAATCCTGGTTCAAGTCAGTAGATCGTCCCTGAGTCCACCCAACTCTGATGGGTACCTAACTCACGTTAGGGAAAGTAAAGGCGACTGGGCATAGTGCTGACCACACTATCTCTGCCTATGCCCAGGTCACAGAAATAAGTGAACTCTACTTCACTTGCCCCATAGACCGTCAGGTTTGAATGGAAACTTTTGCCCTTGGCATCTCATCGTTATAGTAGGAGAAAATAAACTAGCAAAGAATCAAAGTGTAATCTAGTTTTCATAGTCATATTAATAGTCTATGATGAGTTACTGCCCTTAATGTTACAGGTCCAGTCTATGATGAGTTACTGCCCTTAATGTTACAGGTCCAGTCTATGATGAGTTACTGCCCTTAATGTTACAGGTCCAGTTTATGATGAGTTACTGCCCTTAATGTTACAGGTCCAGTCTATAATGAGTTACTGCCCTTAATGTTACAGGTCCAGTCTATGATGAGTTACTGCCCTTAATGTTACAGGTCCAGTCTATGATGAGTTACTGCCCTTAATGTTACAGGTCCAGTCTATGATGAGTTACTGCCCTTAATGTTACAGGTCCAGTCTATGATGCGTTACTGCCCTTAATGTTACAGGTCCAGTCTATGATGAGTTACTGCCCTTAATGTTACAGGTCCAGTCTATGATGAGTTACTGCCCTTAATGTTACAGGTCCAGTATATGATGAGTTACTGCCCTTAATGTTACAGGTCCAGTCTATGATGAGCTACTGCCCTTAATGTTACAGGTCCAGTCTATGATGAGTTACTGCCCTTAATGTTACAGGTCCAGTCTATGATGAGTTACTGCCCTTAATGTTACAGGTCCAGACTATGATGAGTTACTGCCCTTAATGTTACAGGTCCAGTCTATGATGAGTTACTGCCCTTAATGTTACAGGTCCAGTCTATGATGAGTTACTGCCCTTAATGTTACAGGTCCAGTCTATGATGAGTTACTGTCCTTAATGTTACAAGTCCAGGCTATGATGAGTTACTGCCCTTAATGTTACAGGTCCAGTCTATGATGAGTTACTGCCCTTAATGTTACAGGTCCAGTCTATGATGAGTTACTGCCCTTAATGTTACAGGTCCAGTCTATGATGAGTTACTGCCCTTAATGTTACAGGTCCAGTCTATGATGAGTTACTGCCCTTAATGTTACAGGTCCAGTCTATGATGAGTTACTGCCCTTAATGTTACAGGTCCAGTCTATGATGAGTTACTGCCCTTAATATTACAGGTCCAGTCTATGATGAGTTACTGCCCTTAATGTTACAGGTCCAGTCTATGATGAGTTACTGCCCTTAATGTTACAGGTCCAGTCTATGATGAGTTACTGCCCTTAATGTTACAGGTCCAGTCTATGATGAGTTACTGCCCTTAATGTTACAGGTCCAGTCTATGATGAGTTACTGCCCTTAATGTTACAGGTCCAGTCTATGATGAGTTACTGCCCTTAATGTTACAGGTCCAGTCTATGATGAGTTACTGCCCTTAATGTTACAGGTCCAGTCTATGATGAGTTACTGCCCTTAATGTTACAGGTCCAGTCTATGATGAGTTACTGCCCTTAATGTTACAGGTCCAGTCTATGATGAGTTACTGCCCTTAATATTACAGGTCCAGTCTATTATGTGTTACTGCCCTTAATGTTACAGGTCCAGTCTATGATGAGTTACTGCCCCCAGTTTGACGCCCTCCATGACGTGTTGACAGGACGAGAGACCCTGTACCTGTACGGCAGGTTGAGGGGAGTCAGGGAACACTGCCTGCATGAAATCACTGAAATTATTATCGACTTTATCACTCTTCGACCACACGAGGATAAAATAACATCTGCTTACAGGTACCCAATCACAAGCATTTGATGTGTACATCTTGTACAATCTGTAATGGACTGCCAAGCATTTGATTTATCAACTAATTTAAACACAATAAACATATGGGACTAACAGCTCTGTCTACTTTTATTATAATTTAGACAAGTATTTTGGTAAAGTTAACGGTTTAGGGGACGGGTTACATTTAATGGAACCAAATGCCTCAGTCTTGAAAGGGGTGGGGGAACGGTTATTTAATGGAAACAAATACCTAAGGATTATAAAATGTTATATCTCGACTTCAGGGGACATGCTCCATTTTTTTTTTTTACAATTTAAGATGTAAAGCCTTTTGAATACTTAAACATTTTCGGCACATGAAACTAAGAGGTAAACAGCAAAAAAGTGTCATGGTTGTCATGGAAACACAAAATATACTCCTCCTTTTTGAATTTTTCGGAACTAAATATGCTAAGGCTTTTTATGTATGCACTTAAAGCAATCAAATGTAAAATGCTTAGATCTCAGTAGGGCCTATATATTAAAACTTTTGTCACGACAACTTTTTGAATAGCTACTAGTCAGAATTTTACAAGATCTAAAAAAGTGTACCCATTTTAGTTTTCAAAAGTTTCATAATCTGCTTTATTAACAATAATTTTTTTTTATGAAAGCCATCACAATTCCCTTGCGTTTTATTCTTGCATGAAGAACAATTAATGAAAAAATTGGCTGGCATTGTTCAATAAATTTTTAAAAAGTAGTAGGCTTTGTTGTATTAAAAAGGTACGAACTGAGAAAAACAGCAAAAAGTAATATAAAGTTGTCATGAAAATTACATATCTGTGTAATTTGTAAAGTCAATTGTAAGCTTTTGGGTGTTTTCGAGATGATTTAAAATACTCTTACCAAATACATGAGAAATATAGCTTTACTATACTGCCAAATACAATATGATGACGAATATAAAACGTTTCGTAGAGAGCTTGTAGGATTCAGAAAAAATAATATTTTTTTAATTAATAGGGTCATAAAAATGATATTTTAAACACATTTTTTTCATTAAGTTTATTATTTTCTAAATATAAAAATAGACCAAGTATCCAATAGTGAAAAAAACATCATGACGAAAAAGAAGAAATTTTGTGATTTTCGTAAGGAGCGTATCCCTTTAACTTAACCGTTTCAAACAAAACATTTTTAGCAAGTCTGTTAGAATATGCGCCATGCTATTTTGTCCCCCAACTTCTAAAAGTTCGTTCATCAGTTGTCCTTAATTTTGCTGGAACGTAAAAAAATGTAACAGCCGCGCTAAACACTTCTCTTACTTTTTTACATGTTGTATTTGTTTTATAGTTACAAACGTAACGCTGGATTTGCTAGGCTACTCAGTTTAATATTTACATGTGTAATAAAACAAAGTTTAAAGTTTAGAAATGATTTATCCATTCATTATTTCAGTGGCGGTAATAAAAGGAAGTTGTCCATAGGGATAGCCATCATCGGTGACCCCCACTTTATAATGCTAGACGAACCGACAGCTGGCATGGACCCCATCTCTAGGAGAAGTCTTTGGAAATGTCTGCATATGATCAGGTCAATGGAGAGAACCTTGGTGCTGACCTCACACAGGTGAGAGGTCAATAATTGACCAGAGAACTTCAGATGGGTATTCTATAAATATTCTTGTAAATAACATTGTACTATTGTAAAATAATATTTAAAATACATTAAATATGCAATAAAGTATCACTAAATAAAATTGAAAAAAAATCGCAAAGTTTAATAGAATTAGAATATGTTAACCATAGAATACAGTAAGAATGTTATCGGATCTCGTGATGTTTCAGCATGGAGGAGTGTGAAGCGCTGTGCACGAAAATTGCGATCCTCAAAAGAGGGCGGTTGATGTGTCTGGGCAGCACGCAGCACTTGAAGAACAAATTTGCCCAGGGCTATACCGTCATCCTCCACGCTAAACATCAAGAGGACGGAGCCATCCTTCCACTGAAGCCTGCGGTAGATTTCCTGATCTCATCCATCCCTGGAACTACGGTATGCGAGTTAATACAAATGGCACGTGGGACAACTAACACAGTTTAATATAGAACACTTAGAACGAGTTTAAGATACCTCCCGAAAGATTCATATCTAATTTTCCGTTAGTCGTAATTCAGATTTTCAACGTCCAACGACCATACAAACAAACTTTATTCTATCCTAACTTTGTGTTTGTTTATCCTCAGGTTTTCAACGTCCAACGACCATACAAACAAACTTTATTCTATCCTAACTTTGCGTTTGTTTATCCTCAGGTTTTCAACGTCCAACGACCATACAAACAAACTTTATTCTATCCTAACTTTGTGTTTGTTTATCCTCAGGTTTTCAACGCCCAACCCTCGTACTACCACCTACAAGTTCCAGAGACTGCCCGTTTGTCTGAAATCTTCAGGCTTTCATTAGAGGCCAGGTCGACATTTGACCTCCAACATTTCACGGTCCAACAGACGTCCTTAGAGCAGGTCTTCTTGCTGCTCATGAAGGACGAAAAGTGATGAATGAGTTTATTAAATATTGTGTTCAAAACAATGAGAGCAGTATGTCATTAATTTAATAGTTCTACATTAAATCTTATTATGTATATAATATACTTCTCTTTTCCATTTTATCTGACTGTACTTCGAATCATATAAAGTAATTACTTCCTTTGTATTTTTTATATTTTTTACTTTCTCGTATATACGAAGTATAGAGAAAGTATTGTAATCGTGCAAAAAAAAAATCGAGAGTTTTGCAAATCTCGACGTTTTACACCTCACTGATACGGAAAACATCATTTGCAATCTTGTCTGTGTGTCTGTGTGTGTGTGTCTTTGTGTAAACACGATTACTTGAGTACCGTTACAGCCAGGTTGATGAAATTTCATATATAAGTATTTTATCAAAATCGTAGATCCGTGTAAACTTTGAGCGATTTCCGATTTCCGATAACCGGAACTGGTACTTTTTCTACTTTGAATTTTTCAAAAGCCTATAACTTGAGTACTATTTCAGATAGATAAATGAAATTTCACATGTAAGTAAAAGATCTAATTCTCTACCTTCTATCAAATTTTGAGTAATTTCAGTTGACCGGAAGTACTAATTAACGCAATTTCCGATTTCTCAAAAACGCATGTAAATTTATAAAGTACTAATAATATTGCGCACTATTATGCACATTTTGTTTTGGCGTTTGCTTGGTTCGCAATTCATTTTTCTACTAGATTTTATTCTATTTTTAAAAGTTTAAGTAAACAAAAAAAAATTCATAAAAAAACGTTTTAATAACAAGCTTTTATGTAATAATGCACTAAAAAGTAGAAAATAAATTATAGACTACTATTAAAATAACTATAAAGAAAAGCGTGGGTCACTTTAGTACCTATTGGATACCTTTACTAATGTTAAGGAAGACACCCACGCTTTTCTTTATAGTAATTTAAATAGTAGTCCAAATTTTAATTAATTCATACAAAATTAATTAGGCATCCAATTAAGTCAAATTTAGTTTCAGATTGCATTGTCTTCATGTCTTGACCCACGTGCCAACTGTGAATCGTGTCGGTCAAGTAGAAGTGTCCGAATTTTCACTCCAGCGTTTCGATCTAGACTTACGACTGACGACTGGCGACTGACGACTGGCGACAGACAGAGGAAGTGAGTTAAATAAAAGCTTGTAAAAATCATGTCTATATTCCGAGTTGCCATCCCATGTAGTGTTATATTAGAATATTCGAGAAAGTTTAGGGGAGATCACTCCCGGTTTATTACGAGATTCCATTCTATTATAAAAAGTTTAAGTAATTAAAAATGGATTACAAATATTGTCTATGTCCTGAATTGCCATCCCTCGTAGTTTTATATAAGAATATCCGAGAAAGTTTAGGGGAGATTTTACATTCGAATTTATCTTTGAATTTTACTAACAATTGGAACAAAAAGTTTTTGTTTACATTTGTTTAAAATAGTAGATTTTTTCATTACGAATAACTCGTTTGAAATAACTAATTAATACATTTCAAAACCTGATAATCATTGACCTATCAACAACTAAAGAAGGACGACCAAAGAACAACAAACTCAAAACAAACCTGGAATGGAAACGCGGAATTGAATAGAATGATTTTTAAGTTTTAAAAACTGTTTTTTTTTTTTTGTTTTTTTTTTTAAATTAAATGTTTAAAGGAAATTCAATTTAAATATTTCATACAATAAAATAACACTAATAAACATGGCAAGGTCATAATTAAATATCTATAACTAGCCCACTACTTAACACCCGAAAGTCAACAGTAAACAATAACATAGGTTTCACCATAAACTATTTAACATAAACATCGACCCAATCGTTTCTTGCTAATCCCTACATATAAAAGTGAAAGTGGTGGTGGGATAGGGGGAGGTATATCCTTTATGCATTACTATACTTTTCATCCATTAGCCGTTAAACTTTGGGAGTTAAGAGAAAACTTCAGAAAAGTTTTATGGGGGGAAAAATTTCGGTCCTCAATGTCTCAAACACGCCACCGCGGGCACCAGAATAAAAACTATGAATATTCGTGAATTCAGAGAATATTCATGAATTCAGAGAATATTCATGAATTCAGAGAATATTCATGAATTCAGAGAATATTCATGAATTCAGAGAATATTCATGAATTCAGAAATATTCATGAATTCAGAGAATATTCATGAATTCAGAAATATTCATGAATTCAGAGAATATTCATGAATTCAGAGAATATTCATGAATTCGGAGAGAATATCCATGAATTCAGAGAATATTTTTGAATTCAGAGAATATTCATGAATTTTGAATATTCAGAGGAATTAGTCAAGCTTCGATTATGTTGAATTTTTTTTTTAAATTGGTTGTTTCACTTTGTCCATAAAAATTCTAAAATAAAAACTAGGATGGGACTACCGTTCTAATAAACCGGGAGTAATATCCCTTAAAAATCGGAAATAGCGTAAATTACTACTTCCGATCAACAAAAATTACTCAACATTTGTTAGAAGGTAGAGAATTAGATCTTTTACTTACATGTGAAATTTCATTTATCGTTCTGAAATAGTACTTAAGTTATAGGCTTTTGACAAATTCAAAGTAGAAATAAAATCCACTTCCGGTTAAAGGAAATCGCTCAAAAGTCGATACGGATCTGAAAAACGTATCTGTAAAGGACCATAACTTGTGTGTTTAGTAATCAGCATTTTTCCGGCATTGCCCACCCTAACCACAACCAACCAAAGCACACAAAAAACGCAAACATAACACTAACACAAAACAAACACAAACGAAAACACAAAAACAAACGCAAAGACAAACCCAACCACAAACACAATGAAAACACAAACACTAACGCAAACAAAAAAGCAAACGAAAACAAAACCAAACGCAAACACAAACCCAACCACAACCAAACAAAACCAAAACAAAAACAAACCAAAAACAAACAACGCAAACATAACACAAACGCAAATACAAACACAAACGAAAACACAAAAACAAACGCAAACACAAACACAATCACAAACGCAAAGAAAACACAAACGCAAAGAAAAAAAAGTAAAAGAAAACACAAACGCAAAGAAAAAAAGCAAACGAAAAAAAAAGCCAAACCAAACGCAAACACAACCAGAAACGCAACCCCAAACTCAAACACAAAGAAAACACAAACGCAAAGATAAACTCAAAGTGTCCACAGTCTAGCTCGGAGCGCCAAATCGCACCATGACGACGAGCGGCGTAACCGCCTGATTCAACTTAGTAAACGACTATAGTACCCAACTTATTCATAGTCTTTTGAACTCACTTACGCGAACGTAGGTACCCTAGCGTACACGGGAAGGCCCGGGGCGCCAAATAGCACCCTGTCGGGGTGCCGGAGGACGCCCGGATTTGATTCACTTACAGACTATAGTAACCTTTCTTATCCATAGTCTATCGCACTTTTTAAAACAAAATTATGCAGCATAGCGTTCACATGATAACCCAGGGCGCCAAATCGAACCGTGCAGTGGCGCCGGCGGACGCGCCTGTTTCAATTTAGTGAACAAAATTATATTACTCCAAGCTTATCCGAAAATGGAAAGAAATAAACATATAGGATTTGTAGGACCTGGCTTATTAAATGTTATTGATTTAAAAAAATAATTAGTAAACAGTATGTTCAGAGTATAGAATAAATAAAAGGCAGTATTAAAAATACCAACGACATTGCACTTAATCAATCCCCGCTAATTATGTTTTTTTTTCTTAACACCAAAACAAAGTAATAAAAAGTAAATTCTTTCTTCCCCGATTTAATGGGTTTTTTAAACGGAAGTAACTGTGTTTTCCAAATCAAGGGACGTTATGAGAACTGAAGGACAAAATGCAAATACATTTCAGACACAATTTTAGAAATTTTATAAACGTTTATACACTTTTTAAAACTTTTATGTAATGTTCATAATTGAAAATTATTATTCTAATTATTAAAATGAAAATTGTTTTTAAAGACTTTCAATAGTAATTTTTTTAACTCATTAATTTGGTCCTAGGTGCTTTGACAACAGGTGCTTTGACCATGGTCAAACCCCCTATGGTCAAAGCTCCGCTGTGGTCAAAGCCCATCTGTGGTCAAAGCCCCGCTGTGGTCAAACCCCTATGGTCAAACCCCCTATGGTCAAAGCACCTGTGGTCAAAGGTCCGCGCACCATTAATTTAGACCATGAGCACTATAATAATCTAACACTTAAATCCATCGAAGTATCCACGACAAACATTTTACAAACATTTTACAAACAAACATACAGAATTGAACTTTATATATTAGATTTCATCAACCTAGCGAAATGGTACTCAAGTTATTGTGTTTAAAGACACACATACACAAACACACACACACACACACACACACACACACATACAGACATACGGACAAGATTGTTTTTCCGACTCACGGAGCTGTAAAACGTCGAGATTTGCAAAAATCTCGATTATTTTTTTTGCACGATTATAAGACTTTCTCTATACTTCGTATATAAGAGAAAGTAAAAATAATGATTAGTAATACCTAACATACAAATCTTGAGTTTCCTCAGAAAAATTACATCTCTCATAATAGCAATCGGTAATCTATCTAAGCATATAAAAATGAAAGTATGTTCGTCTGTGTGTTTGTTTTTATGCATTACTCAGCCTTTGTGAAGTTGATGAGAATATTCATTGGTACGTTTCTGCAAAAAAAAAAAACTATAATTCGAAGTGACCGCGCCCCATATTTAGTGCCCCGAGCTCCCCTTCGAGCACCATGGCGCCTACATTTAAACCGCACAATACGATAGGGACACGGAGGCACGTGCAAGAGTTAAGCTGAACCCGGCGCCCCTGCGGTTGTGTAACTGGCGGCTCCCCAGAGTGCGCTGTGACGCCCTTGACACAGGGGCGGTCGCCAAAGGGTTTCTATCTCACATTTACAGAGGGTTACTCAGGACTTTCATACAGCACGCAAATGAGCGTCTGGGTGGTAACGTGGACAAACCAGCGCCATAACAACTCAGATCAAAGAAATATAGA